TTTTTAAATATATTTTATTGATTTTTTACAGAGAGGAAGGGAGAGAGATAGAGAGTTAGAAACATCGATGAGAGAGAAACATCGATCAGCTGCCTCCTGCACATCTCCTACTGGGGATATGCCCGCAACCCAGGTACATGCCCTTGACCGGAATCGAACCTGGGACCTTTCAGTCTGCAGGCTGAGGCTCTATCCACTGAGCCAAACCAGTTTCGGTCTTTCTTTCTTTCTTTCTTTCTTTCTTTCTTTCTTTCTTTCTTTCTTTCTTTCTTTCTTCTTCTTTCCTTCCTTCCTTCCTTCCTTCCTTCCTTCCTTCCTTCCTTCTTTCTTTCTTTCTTTCTTTCTTTCTTTCTTTCTTTCTTTCTTTCTTTTTTCTTTAAAATATATTTTATTGATTTTTTACAGAGAGGTAGGGAGAGGGATAGAGAGTTTGAAACATCGATGAGAGAGAAACATCAATCAGCTGCCTCCTGCACACCTCCCACTGGGGATGTGCCCACAACCAAGGTACATGCCCTTGACCAGAATCAAACCTGGGACCCTTCAGTCCACAGGCCGATGCTCTATCCACTGAGCCAAACCAGTCAGGGCTTTCTTTTTTTAAAAATAATGATTATATATATATATATATATATATATATATATATATATATATATATCTTTATTGATTTCAGAGAGGAATGGAGAAAGAGAGATAGAAACATCAATGATGAGAATCATTGATCGGCTGCCTCCTGCACACCCCCTACTGGAGATTGAGCCCACAATCCAGGCATGTACCCTTAGCTGGAATCGAACCTGGAACCCTTCAGTCCACAGGCCAATGCTCTATCCATTGAGCCAAACTGGCTAGGGCGAATTCTCTTTTGTGTTGCTTTGGTTGCTCTATACTCCTGGCTCATGGGTTTCTTTTGCTCCTGCTTCCTTGCATTTGCCTGTGCTTCCTCCATAGCAGGTGGTCCTGTGGACCCCACATGCAATGGGCTGATGAACTGTACAGCTGGAAACACAAGCTAAACTAGCCTGATGCTGGAATGGACCTCTGTTCCTACATGGAAAAGAAACTCCGGACACTGGCTCTGATTTTAGCTTTACTGAAACCACAGCGACACTTCCTCTATGATTGGGCAAACGGAAATGGGACTTTGGAAACTCAGGGATTTAATTCCACGCAAATAAAAAATCACTCGTTCTCCAGTGCAAGTCTTAGAAAATTCCTTTTCTCAGATATTGTAAGAATTCTAGTCCTAGCAGCAACCAGGGGAGATGAGGCCCACCCCGTCCATTAACAACGTACAGTATTATCTTTCTCTCCATTTCTTCTTTCGCTAATGAGCTGTGCCAGTTGCCAGTCAACCATATGGCTTTGGGGTGAAGGAATTCGATAAAGAGTAGGAAGAAATACTTCCAATTAAATTGCGTGTGAAGATGAGAATTATTTGTTTTTAATCTGAAACTTGGGGATACTTCTTGTCATGTCTATTCCACTAGCTTTGACTCCTAGGGTCTTCAGGTCACTAGGGAGCAAGCCCCATCCAAGTCTCCCTATCCCCTGGGGGTGCTTCAGAAGCTCCATCACATTGTGACTTCCCAAGGGGGTAAGGAAACCGAGAAGTCATCCTTATTTAATTCCTAGCTGTTAGGACATTGCTTGGAAATGAGGGGCTCCTGTTCTCTTTGCTGAATAAACTTCTAAATGAACACCTTGAGCACCTTTTTCAGATTTGGAAAGCAGACAACAGAGTGGAAGAATGTGTTCTAGGTTGGGTGGTTGGAGAGAGCTGTTTGCAATCTGGCCATTGTATGCTTTGCTGTTCCTTTGTACTTTTATAAGGGAGGAGGGGAGTGTAACTCAATTAAAAAAAAAACCCCAACACTTTGTATTTGGCACATTTTATTTGTCAAACTTTCAGTGCTGATATAATTACCTCTTCTTCTTCTTCTTCTTTTTTTTTTCTGTGAATCATCTGAGGTGACCATTTTTTCAAGTTGTATGTTTTTTAGAAATTAGCCTTTTCTAAAGTGAATATCTGTAATGAATGTTTTAGTTTGGGCTACGTGAAACCAACATATTCAAACATTTATTTGAGAGGGAAGTTACACTCCAGCTAGCCCTGCATTTTGGAAAGGCGTGGGCTGACTGGGGAAGAGGGTCTGAACCATTAAAGGCCTATGGCTTTTCACATCAAAATGGGGATGAAGGCATTGGGGACCTGTGGAGGGAGGGAGTGATCACAATATTTGATTTGTGCTACTATTTTGCCACCATAGGCTTTTGTTTCATATAAACTTTCTGCTTTCACAGAATTGGCTTTTGTTTCATATAAACTTTCTGCTTTCACAGAATTGGAAAAAGAGTGAATGTGAGAAAGGCTTAATGTGAACAAATCTGGAAGAAAAATGGTTCTATTTAAGTTCAGATTAAACTATGCCATTTTATTTAAAGAGCAATCAGTTTTATAAGCAAGGTACAAAGAGTCAGCTTTAGAAAAGGTTCTTTCTAGTTAAAAGAATTGAAAAAAAAGGTTAAAATTTCTCTAATAATTAGAGTCACACTATTGCTGAACCTTGGAGAGCTATAACATTCTAAGTTGTGGTCCCAGTTCTTCTACGAGAAGGTAGACCTGGATTGTAAAAAACGATGTTAGAAAATTCTGGGCCCTAGGTAGCAGCATAACTATCAAAACAGGTCATTCTGTACAGCCTAGTGAAGGTCATTACCACATCAAACACCAAGTGCTTATTTTGTCATACACAGACACATAATTTTAGTAATAATCGACAGCGATCAGACTACCACTCCCCAGAGGGAAAGTAGGGGAGGGAGGGGGCAAGGGGAAGAGATCAACCAAAGGGCATGTATGGATGCATATAAGCCAAACCAATGGACATGGACAACAGGGGGATAAGAGCATGAGTCTGGGGGGCGGGGAGGATGGGGGTTTAATGGAGGGGATGAGGACACATTTGTAATACCTTAACTAATAAAGAATTTTTTAAAAAAAGCATTTTACTAAAAATTAAAACTTCAACTATAGTTACAATTTAAAACAAAATGACAATGAAATAAGCACATCATTTTTTTTCAATACAACATTTTAAGCAAACAGAATGGTTTTCATCTTGATTTGTCAACCTTAAAAATAATTCAATGCCTCCTCCTTAAAAAAATCTATTGAGTTTGGGCTGAGCAGTGCTAACTCTGAGTTTGTTGTCTTGAATCATTCCTTAAATCATTTTTGAACATTTGTTTTAGCTAAGAGGAAGGACATTCTGTATGATGAGAATTTTAATATAAAGTTCATGCAATTCAGAAAAACATGGACTCATGCTCAGATTTTATGTGAAATGTGTCAATAAATTCATCATCAGGCTTTGTTTATTTTTGTTGTTGTTTTTTTCATCTTTGATGATTTTACCCAAATCAGTAACTGCTTTGGTGATGATCCTGCTAAGTCACATTTGATGATTGATTTGTATCCTGGAAAGTCCATCCATTGAATGACAGGTTGGAATAAAGGATGCAAACATGGCTGCAATTTACTTAAAATTGTATAGCCATTTTGGTTGCTACTAAATTCTTTAAAAGTGATGATCAACAAAGTAATCCTTTTGCTTAAAGAGCTATAGGCCTTCAGAAACCCGAACTGACAATTCTCTGAAACAGATAATACAAAATATTTCAAATAATCATTAGATTTCTGTGAAATTTCAGCTAGGCAAGTATTTCAATGTAAGAAACATGATTTAAAAATACATTTTGCCTACATCTTTAAAATAATGGTATTGTTTGCTATAGTATTATGCATGGTTGGGATAAAGACTACTTTCTTTTGGCTAAAAATGGTCAAATAGCAAGTATGAACCATTGCTAAGCCATTGACCTTTATTGACATCCAAGTCTTCTGAATCCTTCCATCTAAAAGCAAAGAAACAGAGCCCTGGCCAGCATTGCTCAGTGGTTGAGGCCTCGGCCTGCACACTGGAGGGTCTTGGGTTTGATTCCACTCAAAGGTGCATATCTGGGTTTGCAGGTTTAACCCACCTCACCCTCAGCCTGGGGGGAGTGTGAGGCAAACAATCCATGTGTCTCTCTGGCATTGATGTTTCTCTCTCCTCTGTCTCTCCACCTCCCCCTTCCACTCTCTCTAAAAATCAATGGAAAAAAAATATCCTCACTCCTCTGGTGAAGGTTAAAAAATAATAATAATAAAAGCAAAGAAGCAGCAAATGCTTTTCAAAGAGGATCTCACTCAGGATGAAAAATATTAAAATAATTAAAGTGTAGAATTGAAATTTTTAGCTTATATGAGTCCTCTAGACCTAATGCAAATTGCCAGTTCTTCCCAACCACCTTCCCCCTTGCTCTCCTTTCCTCTTCCTTTATTGAATATGTTGTGTGCCCACCATGTGTACACAACTCTTCTAGGTGCCAAGGAATCATTTTGACATTAGTTTTGGCAGAAGGAAGTTGTGACCTACCTATGAAACCCAGCTCCAGAGTTAGGTGGGAATGAGGATAATAGGCCAAGGCTGGTGCTTACTCTCCTTCAAAATATATTGCTAGGCTGAGTCCACACATAGGAATTCCAAATCACGTTCCACCGTAGCCACCCACATGTTTCTCAGCCCTGCCTAACCCAGAGAGTGAGCCATCTCTCCCGTTCCCCGAACCTGGGCTATTATTCATTACACCTCGGCAGGTAGCTTCCTTTGGAGAAATTCCCACATGTGGCATCACATGCAAGCCTGCAGCAGAGGCTGGGAGTTATCTCAGCAATTGCTTGCACCTCCCAGTGCCAGCTGGCACTCGCACACGCAGCCTCCTGGTGAAGTCAATGGATGGGAAACCACGGGGAGGCCACCTCTGGGACAGGGGCTTCTGAGTGGACAGCTCTAAGTACAGAGCCCCATCTGATTGGCTGACTGGATCTGCAGCAGCATGGAATTTCGAAAGCTTCAGATTGGAAACCTTTTTGCCTTTGTATTTATTTTTATAGAAATGGGAAAGGCAGCTGCGTTGAAGACAATGACTCACACGTTTTTGCTGTACTGCTTAGTGTTTCTTTTGCCCACAGAGTCCTGCAGGACATTATGCCAGGTAAGAGAATGGAGGTGGGGGGATGGAATGGTGGGGAGAAGCAAATGGGAATCTAAAACCCGGCTCTAGGTTATCTGAGCTGAAGTGTAGGGAGAAGATGGTGGTAGAATGGTTCAGCCAGATGAAATTGCAGTTGCAACTATATGTGTGCAACACCCATTTTAGTCAAGAGCTGCAAATTATTATTTTTCCATCAACTTTTCCTATAAGTTCCTAAGATACAATGAGGCTCAAATGATTTAAGGGTGATAATCTCTCCTTTCTATATCCTTTGATGATGAAGTTTTCAGTTGCTTGTAACTAGGGCCACTTCCTCAGGGACACTTGAGAATGTAGGTGTGGTGAGGGTCACACTGACTGAGAGAGATAATTAATGGCATTTAGTGTGGGCAGAACCTAGGAATGGTCTGGCACAAAGAAGCATTGTCCCACCCCAAATGGCATCTCCTTTGAGAAACCTGATAGTGACCACCATGGATGGGCTGGAAGGAGTAAAGAGCAACTCAGGTAGTCAATGGCTAATCAAAATCTAACTGGGATGGAGTTTGTAGCAATGTACGATCTTCACATTTTGTGAGGCAGTGAGCCTGATGGCTCTCTCTGGAATATTTTTCCTCATACTAAAAGTCATTTTAATTTTCCTATTAGTTACTTGTTTAAAATAAATTATGGAGAATGAGAGAGAGAAAGAGAGAGAGAGAGAGAGAGAGAGAGAGAGAGAGAGAGAGAGAGAGAGAGAGAGACAACATAACAATATTTTGAGCTTCTTGAGAAGAGGATATTATTATTGGACCACAAGATCTGAAAGAGAGCTTTGAGATCAACTGGTGAAGCTCCACTCCCTTATTTTATCAATGGGGAAACTGAGGCCCATGGTGTGGAATGTGACTTGCTTGAGGGTACATACCTACTAAGCCAAAGAGCCAAGCCCAGGACCCTTGTCTTCAGATTCTTAGTTTCTTGATCTTTCCATTTTAATATGTAATTTCTCTTTTTTAAAAAAGCAAAAGTGTGGACATTTATTATATGTTATTACAAACTCCACACATGGGGAGGGGACCCAAGAATGGGTTGACCTTCATATGTACTTTCTTGAGAAGAGCCTCCTTAGGAGAGAATAACTAAAAATTCTTTCTAAGAGTTTCCAAATGATATTCACTTTCCTCCCTAAGTAGTTTGTCCTTGGATGGGAATTTTCTCCATGACTCCTCTTCCCCCAACCCTGAGCTGGTGCCTAGTTTCTGGGAGAGATTAGAGACCCCTTCAGAAAGACCTTTCCCAAGGGGCATCCCAACCCCCACAGTGAGGTACTATTTCCTCCATTTTCTCTTCCACGTTTTCCTACAGGACAGACTTAAAGAATAGTCAGAGTTGCAGAGGTTAGCTTTGTTTCTTTATTATTGGGGATCACCTTATCAGGACTTATCCTGTCCTTTTATTCTTACTAAACAAGTTGCTGGATGCTACTCCTCTCCTGACCTGACTACTAACTCAGGCAGCTCCACAGGTTTAGCAGGTGGCAGGTTTTGAAGTGTGGTTTGTTTTTTTCCAATATCAGGTTGACAATGGTTGGTATCTGAAGCTAACATAGCTCCTAGTCAATGCTACCCAATAAATGAAATGACCAAAAGCAGTGCATGGCTGTGCTTTGATAAATTAACTAGGAGGAAGTGAATCAGGTCTTTCTCTTGAGAAGGCAGAGTTTCTAGAATTCCTTGAAAATAGCACAGTACAGCCTTGTGCCCACACATCTGATTACTATAATGTGACTTCACTGTAGTCTGTTCAATGGGTCACGTATTATCCAGAGTTGTCCACTTTTATGTGCTTTTTTATGGCGTATTGGAGGTCATGACCATCTCAAGATGGGCTTATGGCATCTTGAGATGCTTGTACTTCCATATGCCCTCCTCTGCCTTCTCCATTGGACATGGGTTGACTTGATGGGAAGAACAGTATTGTAGGAGTAGGAGAACAGAGTTCTAGTCCCAGTTCTAGGAGGATTGCCCTAGATAGCCTTGTGCAAGTAACCCCATCTATCAAAGACTCACTTTCCTTATCTCTACAATAAGGGGGTTGGACTGGTTGATCGATAAGATCTTTCAAAACTCCAAAAATATTATTTTAGTGTTCTTGTTTAGTGAAAGGCCTTTAGCTTCTCCATGTATATACTAAAACTTTCTCTTGATTGTGAAATGAGAATTCATCTTACATCAGTATTATGAAGGATTGTATTCCATGAATCAGAGATACCTTCTCACTTTGGACAGACCTGAAATGCTCAATTCAGATTCTCCATAAATTCTCATTTGGTAGAGAAAACATAAGATTCAGCTTTGTTTTTTGATATCATAGAGAGAAATAATGTGAAGAAGAAAGGAATATGAACTCCAAGTGTTAGTCACACAGCTAAGTCATTTTACTTTCAGTTCCTTCCCAATGGTTGAGATCTAGGAATGCAGGTTGGAGTAATTGTACCAGGGCTCTTTCCAGGCCCTAGAGGGAAAACTTCTGGTCAAGAAACAGGAATATTTAGACTTAGTCTCCAAACACAGAGACATACATGTACATATATGCCAGTATATTCAGACATACTAATATGTATGTATATTTATATGTACTGATCTAGCTAGTTAGGGGGATATGAAGCACAATTAACAACCCATGCTATGTTCTTAAGGAACTTATAATTTAATTTAGAAAGTAATAAGCATATATAAAGATGATTAGATAGTATTACAACAGGTCAGGTGAGTAGGTGCCAAGTATTGAATGAGTGGTATGCTAGTATGAATAATAAATTTTATAGGAGCAAGAGAGGAAGAGATGTACTATCTAGAACTAGATCGAGAAAGACTTCTTAGAGGAGGCAAACTTGAACTTCATGTAATAGCCATTCCCTAAGTCCATTTTCAGAGAATAATAATGATAGCTAAATCTTAAATACTACTTACAACATTGAAGGCCTGATTCTAGGTGCCTTTCTTACATGATCTCATTTATTCTTCATAAAAATCATCTGAGGCAAGGGTATGAAATTGTCATACTATAATTCCTACCCTGCTTTATGGGTGAGGAAAGTGAGGCTCAGAGAAATGAACTTTCTCAGGACCTCACATGGAAGTGTTGGGATGTGAACCCAATGTTCTCTTCCCAGAGTCACCCATTGACCACAAAATGACACTGCTGCTCAGTGAAGAGTACAGTATCTACAGATGGATGAGAAAGGAAGGGCTTCTAATCAGGAGAGATGGGAATGCTCATGGTAGGAGGAAGCCAGGTTTTGTGGGAACCACTCCTTAGAACATAAAATGACAAATACAAAATTTAGGGGAAAGTGAATATTTAATTAGAATGAGAAAAAGAATCATAACGTCAAATTTAGAATAATTACTCAGCATTATTCAGGAATAAATTCAATAAAATAATAATATTTTTTATTAAGGTACCACCCATATTTTTGTTCCAAATTTTTGGCTGCATACTTGCATATCAATAATTTTATATATTTCTTTCTATAGAGAGGATAGATTATTCAGTCTAGCATTGATGATTAACTTTGTTATTCTAGTTTAGAAAAAATAGCTTTTAGTTTCTGGATTCATTATTAGTAATGCCATGTAAATAGGCAGAACTATTGTGAACTTTGGGGAAACCTCTAGCAAGTGTCTTTCATATATGACCTACAGGGTTTCAGGGCTCTTAGAACTTGCTTATTCTGTGATTAATTGTAAGTACTTCTACCTAGAATTAAAGCCACTTATGTGTTGACGTTCTCATTGTAATGCACAAATGGCTGCAAACTATAGAAGTACTATTAAGTCCAGGCTAAATGTATCCCCAACTCACTTCTCCTTGTCCAGATTCCATAAATAGGTGCGACCTCTCTAGTCTGTCCAAAATGGGGGAATATAAATGGGGAATTTGGAGTGGCAAAAAGTAATGGCCTGAGCAGATGCTGGTTAAACAGTGTTGCTTTTGCCAATGTAATAAAAACATAGGAGCACGTGAGCCCATGGCTAGATCCTCTCTCAGTGCTTCAAAGGGACCCATACAGGCAATGAATTCTGAAGCTCAACCTTCATTAACTTCCCAGTAAACCCATCTCTGCTCATGATGCTCCTGGGTAGAATGTAGCTCATCCTTACAGGAGCGGAACAAGGGATCCTACCGAAGAGCCATGGGAGGGATAGCGACCCAGGCTAAAGGGCAGATGGGGTCATGGGCCACGTGTCACGGTCTCAGCTTTTGGTGGCGTCCTGGTGTCACAGCTGATGAAGATGTGGTCGTTGGCCTGTGACTGAAGTGAATCATTGGGTTGGCTTCTCACCAATTGATTTTGATGTGAATTTTGATTTTCCCTCCCTAGGCTGCCAGCAAAAGCAAGGGGAAAGTGTCTGCCAAGCCACACGGTATGTTGGTAGCAATTACTAATGAAATGAAAGTTTTACTGTCCATCTGTTATAATAGAGGGCCATCCTTGGCCCTGTCTTATGGCCTAGCAGATGGGACTCCCTGATGGTTTGCACTGGGATTTCCTTTTTATATTTCTCACATTAAAATGTACCATTGACCTCTACTTCCTTCTCTTGCCAGTACCCTCTGCTCCATCCTGATCTTGGAGTTATTTACTATAAATCCTTTGGATTGAGCCAACTCAGACTGGGGCAGTGGCTAGCAGAGGTCTGTGAGAACCCATTGATGATGTAACTGATTATAAAGTTCCAGAGTTGGGAGTTTTCTTAGAGAACATCAGCTACAGGGACTTCCAAACTGTCTCCCCCTGGAGGGGACTGAGGAGGTGCTCAGCGTTTTCCTTTGAGGTGTGAGGGACCTAGGGACTGACCCAGGGGCTCGTCCCTCTCACTGGGCCAGTCACACTTTTAACTATTTGTTTTTAAACATGTTTTTATTGATTTCAGAGAGAGGAAAGGAGAGGGAGAGGAGAAACATCGGTGAGAGAGAAACATTGATCAGCTGCCTTCTGCACACCCCTACAGGGTACCGTGCCTGCAACCTGGGTATGTGCTCTGACAGAGAATGGAACCAGGACCTCCTGGTGCATGGGATGACGCTCAACCAACCGAGCCACACCAGCCAGGCTACTTTCTACATTTGAGTTCAGGATAAGATTTTATTGGAAATAATAGTAGTTTGTCACTGAAATATAGTGTGTCCCAAAGGAAGTATACACATACTTTGAATAATTATAAAGGCAGTGTATTTATTAAAATACATTTCATTTTCAAAATTGAGGTAACAGCTATGATAGTGTGTATACATTTTAGGGAAACACCCTGTATATGATGGTCACTGATATACTTCAATCTTCCTCCACTTTACCAAGTCCACAGGATTTATGCACCTTCATGTGGTGACACCTCGAGCCCTGAGTCCATAGCTCTCCATCTGATGCTGATGCCTTTTATCTTCCCAGGTGCATGTGATGGGGTCTGTGTGGACAATTCTCATTGCAGTCAACCTTGCCCTCCAGATACTCCGGGAAATATGGGGTTTTTATGTAAACAAAATAAATGGCACAAGATCACTGATACCTGCCAGACTCTTACCGCCTTCAACATCTTTGAGGTAATATCTTTTTTCTCACATGCAAAGTGAAGCCTCAAATTAGCAATGCATGTTGCACTCAGCAAGAGAGAATGACAGGGTGGTAAGTAGAGGTGCTTGCGGCAGAATACAAAAACATCTACCTGTTCTCTCTATATGTATACTGGAATGGCATTCCTAACTTTGGGCACCTAAAAGCCTGTTCTCATGTCTCCCACACTTTCCATGACACAAAGGCACCAGATCGCTAAGGCCAGAGCTAGAAGAGCTGTCTAGAATCATCACAGTTTACTTCTCCACTTTCACTCAGCTCTTTAATAGCCCAAACCCCAGCTACTCAATGTGTCCGTCACTGACAGGCAGCACAGGGCATCTCTGAGAACTTTCAGACACGGGGCAATTGGGCCCCATCCAGACCTGCTGAATCTGAACCTGCATTTTGCCAAGATCTCCATGTGACTCCAGTGCTCAGTAATGCACAAGAAGAGAGCCAGGCCTGGAGGAAAGGACTTTGTTGTCAAAGGAACATATTTCCACATATACTTAAGTTGTTACATATTTTAAAAAGTCAAATTCTAGTAAATAAAATCAGGTCAAATGGCATTTCTTCTTCCTTTGTTTCCTTTTCTCCTCTTCTATCAGGAGCGTTACCTTTCTGAAGGTCAGCTCCTGATTCACTCAGGGGAGTCAATGCTTTGGCCTCTCTTGTGTCCTGGCAACATTCCCACCCCCTGTTTTGGGGCATGGCTGGGGAGGCAGTGGATGCTATACCTGAAGTTCCCCTACCAGACTTCAAAACGGAGGTGACACACGAACTCATTTTTTTGGTTGATTTTTTTTTTTTTGGTTAAATGGCATTTAAATATATAAAATAAACATCAAAATATAAGTCTTTGTTTTACTATGGTTGCAAATATCAAAAAATTTCTATATGTGACACGGCACCAGAGTTAAGTTAGGGTTTTTCAAAATGCTGACACGCCGAGCTCAAAAGGTTCTCCATCACTGCTCTAGGCCATGGATTCCTTGTCCTTCTGAAGGGGAAGGCTGGAGAAAGGGTTCTGATAAAGCAAGGTTTGGCAATTTGGCAATTTTGTTCCGTAAAGAGCCAGATAGTAAATATTTTTGGCATTGTGGGTATTATGGTCTCTGTTGCAACTACTCAACTCCACTATGGTAGCCAGAAAGCAGCCCAGTGAATGAGCAAGCTGAATCCCAACAAAACTTCATTGACAAAAAAACAGACGGCAAACCTGTGGCTATCGTTTGCTACCCCTGCTTTAAAGTGTGGGACCCAGAGCCCGATCTGTGGGGAAATGCTGTCTATCACTATTTTTAGTCATTCTTCTCTCTTGGTGTTCCAGTTGATTCATTCAAATCTAGTTAGAAAGTTCTATTTTTTTAAAAAAATATATGTTTATGTCTTATGCTTTGCCCTTGGGAAGAATGAAAAGTAAGTTTAAATGGCACGAGAAATGTACCCATGTGCACAGTACATGTACACAGAAGGCGTGTGGAGGGGTGTGCTAAAGACAACAATTGTTGTTTGGATATAGTGGGTTCAGGAGTAGGCACCTGTTCATACACCTTGGTGTTGGGCAGGTGGTTCCACAGCAGATGTGACCTTGACAATGTAAAATAGAAAAGCATTATGCAATATACAATTGTGTGATAAGGCTGTCCTACATTGTAGTAAAGGTACTTTTACATTGAAAACAAAAGTAACATGATAACAAACTTTCTTTTTGCCATTTCTTAGGAGGATTTAAGTGCAGGTCCATCATTTGGAAGTAGTATACACATAAATGAATATTCTGGAAAGTCCGAGACCATTGCAGACAAGTTGATGCGGAAGTGTCCGCAGGATTTGTCCTGTGTTGTTAAGAAGATTCAGCATTCTCCCCGGATACCAGGAAACATCGCTGTCATCGTGCAGCTACTACACAACATATCGACAATGCTGTCGACAGATGTGGGTGAAGCAAAGATGAAGGTGAGTGGCCTTGAACATTTGTGGGGGGTTTTGGGGGGGAATGGGAAAGGAATGCAGGTTTAGTTGGAGCTTTTGAGGGTCTGAGGAGACCATGTCTTTCACTTCAGTATTTCCATTACCTGGTAAATGTTTAAAATAAATCCTCATTGAAGAAAAAAATGAATGAAAAAAGTGAATACATTCAGTCAACAAGCATTTAAAGAGAGCATTTACCAGGTGCTGGATTGGACATTGAAGCAAGCTTTTTCCATGTATATTTTGGCTACTGTGAATCTCCAAGAGCTGTTCTAGGTCCTGCAGAGAGGAAGACATTTATTTGTGAATCAGAACAGGTTGCTAAAATGGGAAAAAACAACACAACTGGGTGTCCAAAAAACAGCCAGATAGGTCTGCTGCAGAAATGTGAAATGGAATTGGACATGCTTCCTTTGTGTCTGGCCTTCAAAGTAGAAGATAAAAAAAAGGGGGTCCACCCTCTGGGGTCAGCTTCCAGTGTGTCATGTTCCTGTACAATGCCCTGCACACAGTTGGGGTTTAATAGATATTAATTACATAGTGGGTGCTCTGGGCAGGGCAGGCAAATTGCTAGTGTCACCCAGGTGTGAAGTGGAACAGATAACGGAAATGAACACGGTGAAGGCTGCCCATTCCTGTGAGGCAGGCATCACATGAGCAGGGGGGAGGCAGCTCCCTGGTAGTTCTATCCTCCAACACAAACCTGAGCGGCATGTGAGTCACCTGGGGATCTCATTAAGGTGCTCATTCTGATTCACAGGGTTTGGAGTAGGGCCTGAGATTCTGTATCTTTAAGAGGTTCCCAGGGCATGCCTATGTTACTGATTGAAGGACCACGCTTTATAAAAGTGAAAATTAAATATGGGACTGCATTTGACCCAGTGAATATATGCACCCTTATGTTCATAACAATGCAATTTACAATAGCTAAGATCCGGAAACAGCCCAGTGCGTCAAGGAAGATACTTAAGACATTATACCATTTATGTTATCTGTGCCCATCAGTAGATGAGTGGATAAAAAAAGCTGTGGTACATTTCTACCACGGAATACCATGAAACAGTAAAAAGAAAGATTTCTTATCCTTTGAGACAGCATGGAGGAACCTGGAGAGCATTATGCTAAGTGAAATAACCCAGTCAGAGAAAGACAAATACCACATGATCTCACTCATATGTGGAATCTAATAAACTGATGAACAAAATAGATCCAGAGACATAGAAGCATAGAACAGACTATGGAATCTCAGAGGAATGGCGGGGGAGGGGGAGTGGGCAGATGGGCAGAGATAAGCCAAAGAACTTGTATGCATATAGGCATAACCCATGGACACAGACAATAGTGTGGTGAAGGCCTAAGGTGGGGGTGGAGGTGGGCTAAAAGGGGTCAATGGGGGAAGGAGGGGAACATATGTAATACTTTCAACAGTAAAGTTTTGTGGTTTTTTTTAAAGTGAAGCTTGAATGTCCTGGCAGATTCAGACAGTAGCTCAATACTAATGCCCGTTCTTCATTGACAGAGTTACAGCATCATGGCCAACCACATTCTTGATAGCAAAAGCATCTCCAACTGGACCTTCATCCCTGAGAAAAACAGCAGCTGCGTGCTGCTGCACTCAGTCAATAGCTTTGCAAGAAAGCTACTCATAAATAAATATCCCATTGACATATCGGATGTGTTTATTCATACTATGTGCACCTTCATATCTGGAGATCACAATGGAAAGAATTTAACTTTCTCCATGAGAGTTAATGACACCCGCAATAGTGTCACTGGGAGGGTGTTGATCAGCAGAGATGAAGCCCAGAAGGTGCGCTCTCCTGCTCAGGTCGTCAGCATTGCATTTCCAACCCTTGGAGCCATCTTAGAGGCCAGTCTTCTGGAAAAGGTCACCGTGAACGGACTTGTCCTGTCTGTCATTCTGCCCAAGGAACTTAAAAGGATCTCACTGGTTTTTGAAAAGATCAGGAATTCAGAGGACAGCAGGACACAGTGTGTTGGCTGGCACTCATTAGAGAGCAGATGGGACCAGCACGCCTGCCAAATGATTCAGGAAACCTCCCAGCAAGCTGTTTGCAAATGTAGGCCAAGCAAGTTGTTTACCTCCTTCTCCATTCTTATGTCACCACACACCTTGCAGAGTCCCATCCTGACTTACATCACGTACATAGGCCTGGGCGTTTCCATTTGCAGCTTGATCCTTTGCTTGTCCATCGAGGCCTTGGTCTGGAGCCGAGTGACGAAGACAGAGATCTCCTATTTACGCCACTTGTGTATTGCCAACGTCGCGGCTACCTTGCTGATGGCTGATGTGTGGTTCATCGTGGCTTCCTTTCTTAGTGGTCCAAGGACACACCACAATGGATGTGTGGCAGCGACGTTTTTTGTTCATTTCTTTTACCTTTCTGTGTTTTTCTGGATGCTCGCTAAGGCACTTCTTATCCTCTATGGAATCCTGATTGTTTTCCATACACTGCCCAAGTCAGTCCTGGTGGCATCTCTCTTTTCCGTGGGATACGGTTGCCCTTTGGTCATTGCTGTTGTTACAGTTGCTGCCACTGAGCCTGGCAAAGGCTACTTACGGCCTGAGGCCTGCTGGCTCAACTGGGACATGACCAAGGCCCTCCTGGCCTTTGTGGTCCCAGCGCTGGCCATTGTGGTAGTAAACCTGATCACGGTGACACTGGTGATTGTCAAAACCCGGCGAGCTACCATTGGCAGTTCCATGTTCCAGGAGGTGAGAGCCATTGTGAGAATCAGTAAGAACATCGCCATCCTCACACCACTGCTGGGCCTGACCTGGGGATTCGGAATAGCCACAGTCATCGATGATAACTCCCTGTTCTTCCACATCCTCTTCTCCTTGCTTAATGCTTTCCAGGTAAGTCCAGACGCTTCTGACCAAGTCCAAAGTGAGAGAATTTGGAAAGAAGTTTTGTGATCAGGAGGGTGTGTCATCATATTTATTTATAAAAGGCAGTGGATTTGGAATAGCCTATTGAGTCAGGAAATACACTTTTGTTTCAGAAAGGCCTGGATTCAAATCTTGACTCTCTCATTTGCTAATGTGTAACATTCTCCTGGGATATTTGCTTAACTTTTCCAAGCCATATTTTCCCACTTGTTAAATGAGCACAATCTGCTCACTTTATAGTAGTTTTTGAAAAATGAAATAAAATAGTGAATGGGACAAGACCAAGTAGCCTAACAATAGGCCGAGTTTTAACTAGTTTAGAAATGAAACAATACCACTTCCTCCCAAATCTAGGTATGTAACTGGGAGTATTTACATATGCACATTCGTATTTTATTCCATTTAGAATGTTTAGTTACCACTGGAAACCATCTTAATGGTATTAAAGATAATTTCCCTTGTCCTTTCCTCTCTTACCTCACCTCTGTGAATTAAAAAAATGTTCACAGTTTCATGTACATCCTTGCCAAACTTTCTATACTCACATATAAGCATATTTTCACATAATATGAGTTAAAAAACAATGCATAGTATTTTGAAACTTACTCTACCACTTAAAAATACATCCTAGCATTTTTCCAGGTTATGTCTCTTTAATGGCTGGATATTATTCAACAGTCAATAATTCCCTTCTTGAATGAAATTTCTTTTTCATTTTTTTCTGTCACAGTGCACTAATGAGTCAGTTTATTTTATTGAATGCTAAATATGTAAATAACAACTAATTAAAAAGAAAGCTTTTATTTTTATAGACTTCTAAAATATTTATTTTCCTGAATGTTTCTTTATTTAAAAATAATAGATTTTATGTCAAATATTTTTTCATATTTCTCTTTCAAAATTTAAATATACATGATTTTATCTACAATAGACATTCTAATGTCTTAGAGAACAATGCTAACATTGTTGCTTTTGTGCATTTCTATAGGATATATTAATTCTACCCTACATTTTTTGTATAGCTCTTAGTAATTATCAATTCCCTTACCCATGTTTATGCAGCTCATCACTGATAGAACTGGGATAAAAACGTAGTGTTCCTAAATTTCTGTTCAGCATATCCAGTGGCTATTTGTCATGTACTTAATGAGTTCATGTCTTAGTCCTCACATTTTCCTTTCCTGTCTCCCTTGGGCCATCTTGACTGTGGTTTTCACTTTGTAATAGCCTGTGAGCACTTGTATTTTTCCCTGTCATAACAGGATCAACTCAGTTTGTAATTTAAACTCAGTTTCTGCCTTGATACCTGGCAAGGAGGAGGGTGGGGCCCATCTAAGTACCAATACCGATGGGCCAGTGAGAAGCTGAGAGCAGGATTTGGGTCAAGGCCAGACTCCAGGGCAGGCATGAGGCAGTGATGTTCTGGAGCTGGCTTGTACTGGCTCAGGAGAGCTAACTACTATATTTTCAACAAATTTTCAAGGTGGTGTAAACACAGACATCATTAAATTCTGTAGAATTAAAATTAAATAAATTAGATTTAAATGGAAGGCCAAACATCCTCAAAATGCATCCCTTCCTAATTGTTTTTCCTACGTTCTACTATGCTTGTGAGGTTATTTGAATCTGCTGTGTCTGGTGGAAACATGAGAGAATGGATGTGCCCATCTCTTCCTGACTCCATGGTCAGCAATGTCATGTTGCTAGATTTAAATTAACCATGGTGAGAGCCATGTGGATCAAGGTAACCTTGGGAAGAGAGAAGGAGAGCACAGGTCCAGAGAGGTGGGAGACAGAAACTACTGAGAGGAAGAAGTGGGACAAGCAGAGTGTTAGGATGACCTAAGATGAGGGGCAACTAAGGCTGATGGAGCAAGCAGAGAAGAAAGATCATAAATATCCCAGGAGATCCAGAGGTGTAGGAGAAAGGCTCTTTGAAAGCTTCCTGGTCCTAGGCTTGTGGGAGCACACCCATTAGTTTTTAAGCTCAACTACCCCCTTTGCTAAGGAAGGATGATTATACATGGTGGGGGCAAACGCCGGTTTACAGCTGAGTACTTGAAACAAAGAATTTGTCCTTATATTCTCACTTATTAATTATTGTATTGTGTTCCAAATGAACAACTGTAAACCCACTTTTGCCCCACCCTGTACAGTCAGTTGCTGCATTGAATGCTACTTGGTCAAGGTACCATTTCTAGTTGGAATCTTCTCTTGTATTTACTGAGAGTAATTGTGGGCTGGGTAAGATTTGCAGACCCATATAACACTGGGTGGCTTATGAACAACAGAAATTTATTTCTCAAAGTTCTGGAAGCTGGGGGGTCCAAGATCAAGGCATAAGCAGATTCGGTGTCTTGTGAGAACCTACTTCCTGGTTTATAGATGGACAGCTAAGAGTGTCAGACAAAAGAGCAATCTCAGAGAAGCACTCCAAGCTTGGAGCACTTGCTGGACTGGCTGAATGGAGACGTATAGTTAGTATGTTTGGAGGAATGGATTAGCTGCGTGGCCATCCAGGCTCTGGTCCCTGTGAAGTCCTCCACCTCTCAGCTAAGCTTTTGCAAATCATGGCAGCAGTGGGTTTGGTATCGTCCCTGCTGATGACCACCCGGTTATAACATCTTTATTATTTTGTATTTCACCCATGTGCCTCGACAGGCCTCTGCCTGGGTAAGGGTTCACATTTGATTATGCAATCAGAGCAACTTAATAAGGATGCCTAAATCAAAGGTCATTATCTTATTTCTCTTCTCAGATGAGCAAAGAGCTGAGTATTCACACTTTTAGGAGAAATTTTGTCTAATCAATATTGCTGTCTATCACATTTTCAAAGTTGAGTCTCTGAGCTTCCCTTTCCTTATCTGCAAAATAGGATGAATACTTTTCCTTCTTCCCAGGTGGTTTTGTACCGCTACATATGAAAAAAGATTGAAACTCAAATGGACTATAACGATGGAGGAACAGCCTCCATCATTATATATTTTATGGATGATGAGATTATGAGAGCTTATTAATTCCCTCTATATTATATTTGGATCACTTATTTATGGGCACCCATTATGTGCTTAGAAACTCAATCCGTTTGGGGTCTTGGCTTTTCTGATGATCCATGTACCTAATTTTTCTTTGCAAATTTTATAACAGTTTTTTGGTTGTGGATGGGGGAGGGAGGTTGAGGGTGTTAAATAAAGCTGAGCATGGATGCTTTTTATTTATTTATTCCTGTGGAAATCTCTTTCATTACTAATTACTCAGGGATTGTAAGGCTGCCATCCATTGCCTAACATCTCCTGGCTATTGAGTGGACCATTGTATTTTGATGAGATGCACAGCTCCTGATAAATGCAAAACACTTTATTTTGCCCAAATTAAAAATAAATTCTTATAATACGCTTATATTAATTAGGGACCTTGGTCTGTTAGACTTTCTGAGGTACCCCAAGTATCTAGAACATGGCTGGCACGTGGAAGACACTCTATTAACATTTGTTGAGTGGAAGAATCTAGGTATTGTGATCTTAAAATGAGTCACACATTAAATCATATGGTCTGCATTTTTGTTTTATTTTGTTTTTTAGTTAGTTTTATCAGTTTCAGAATAGGAATTGATAATGAATACTGGTATTATCAACATTACTTTGTAAATTGCTCTTCTTCACTCTTCTCTCTTTCTCAGGGCTTCTTCATCTTGGTGTTTGGAACAATCCTGGATCCAAAGGTACCATTAATTCTTCTTGTTTTTTGTTTTTATTTTTGTTTTTCTGCATTAACAATACTTGGCCCTGAAATGCTCATTTGTAAAGCTGACCTATTCAGGGTCTTTCATCTCAATTATTTGTACAGACACTTGAACAGGACATCACTGCTCTTTATAATGCAAGTAATATCAGCCATCTTTCAAGCTCCTACGGGGCTAAGCATATTATGTACATCAGCTCTAATCCTGAAAACAATATTAGGTATTTCTATTTGCAATTTTATGGATGAGGAAACAGACTCAATGATTAAGTAGCTTGCTTTAGAAACTAACTCGTTGGAGCAGAAAGGAATTTATTAAATCTCACAGTATCATCTTTGGGAAGATATCTCTTTGGCTTGGACACATGGGGTCTACACACCAGGAATAGTCCCCAATTCATAGCATAGAACTGTTCCACCTGCAACCTGTTCCCTAACTTTGCTGGACACAGAAGCAAAGCTCACCAAAACCAATGTCAGGCTTGGATGCTGAACTAGAGTTGATGCTACTGCTGTTTCAGGGATCACCTCCATCCTGCCTGCTGAGGGCCACTGGCACCTGCTTTTTGAGTTTTCAGGTCTGATTGGCTGAGCCCAGGTCACATGGCTGCATCTTAGCTGCAAGGGAGGCTGAGAAAGTGAGTTCATGTCTTCTACCTTGAAGAGCAATGGATTCAAGGAAGGGAATTCTCCTAGTACAAAGAATGTATATGTAGTGGTGGTGAAAACAAATAAAACCTAAACATATGAGCAAAACACCAAATATTTGCTTAGGCCTCTAACATCACCCTTTTTCCATTGTACTATACTATTTCTTGAAATGAGAAAAGAAAATAACCCTCATGTAGATGCAAACACCTTCACTGCAGGGTTTATTATTTACTGTTTAATTAATTAATTAATTAATTATATTATCAATGCTATTCTACTAACAAGTTAATATGCAAGGTTTGATAAAAAACAAAAGGCATTTCACAATGGTCCTTTCATTTTCTCATGAGGGTACCATAACCTGATATTCAGAGGTGACAGTTTGACTATTTGTCTATTAATCTTGATATTTGTTTGTATTAGTTGCTTATAATTGAGAAGTTTTTTAACTCTCATGAACCTCAGATTCCTGAAAGGGAATGCAGAAATAATTATGCTTTCCCTGCCTTTTCTGCTAAATTATGATAAAGAACAAAAGCAATTTTGCAAGAGAAAACACATAGAAAGCACTGAAGTTACATAGTTGTAGATCATATTATTGTTTTTTTTGTTTTTTTTTAATATATTTTTTTGATTTTTTACAGAGAGGAAGGGAGAGGAATAGAGAGTTAGAAACATCGATGAGAGAGAAACATTGATCAGCTGCCTCCTGCACACCCCCTCTAGGGGATATGCCCGCAACCAAGGTACATGCCCTTGACTGGAATCAAACCTGGGACCTTTCAGTCCACAGGCCAACGCTCTATCCACTGAGCCAAACCGATTAAGGCTATTATGTTTTTTAATTAATCTAAAGCCAAAACTAGTATCTGTAGCCAGAGCATCAGTAACATTATTAGCGGGCCTGTATTAGGTGTTATGAAGTGTGCTAAAACCTCTAAGACATGGACATGTCCATCAAAAGCAAAACCTAATATCTTTAAAATTATAACGTAAAAGGTAAATACTGAAAGGTGTTATATTTAATTGACAAAAAGTTATACAGTAGTCCCCCCATATTAATGGAGAATACTTTCCAAGATCCCCAGGGGATTTGTGAAACCATGGATAATATGTATTCCTATTTATAGTCTGTTTTTCTCCTACATGCACACATTTATTTTAATTTATGATAAAGTTTAATTTATAAATTAGGCACAGTAAGAGATTAATAATAACTAATAATAAAATAGAACAATTATAACAATATACTATAACAAAAATTATGTAATTTCTTTCTTTCTTTCTTTCTTTCTTTCTTTCTTTCTTTCTTTCTTTCTTTTTTTAAATATGGGTCTGTTTGACCTCAAAGTGCATAGTTTTAATCTCCATACATTCTACTTATTGAACACAAATTATTTTATTTTTCCTTATAACTATGAAAGGGAGACAGGAAACTGATTACAGACCACAGGGCACCTGTGTTAATCTTCCAGCTCTGGAGACAGGAAGTCTGAGATCAAGGTGTTGACAGGTTTGGTTTCTCTTGAGGACTCTCTCCTTGGTTTGCAGAGAGCTGCCTTCTTGCTATGTCTCCACATGGTCTTTCCTCTGGCACACATCCCTGGTGTGTCTTCTTCTTATAAGGACACTGTCCTACTGGATTTGGTCCCTGCCCTTATGACCTCATTTAATCTTTTTATGTTATTTTAACTACCTTATTATAGTATACTCACCTTTTCACTTAAAGGAAACACTTTATGGCTCTCTTTGGCATATCTGAATCACCAGCATCACTGTTCTTGCCCCTTGGGGCTATTATTAAGTAAAATACTGCTTACTTGAACACAAGCACTGTGATACTGTGACAGTCAATCTGATGATCGACATGATTAAGTGACTAACTGGTAGATAGTGTACACAGCACAGAAACACTGGACAAAGGAGTGATTCACATCCCAGGCAGATGGAGTAGAATGGCAGGAGAATTCATTACACTACTCAAAACAGCACACAATTTAAAAGGAATAAATTGTTTATTTCTGGAATTTTTCATTTAATATTTTTGGACCTTGGTTGACTGTGGGTAACTGAAACTATGGAAAGCAAAACCACAGGTAAGAGGCCACTACTGTGTATACCAGTAGTCTTTACACTTTTAGAATCAGTAAAAACCAGGAAGCACATATCCCCAGTGCTTGTTATTAATTTACAAGGTATGTATTATACACACTATGAAACATAGAATTGAAAAAAGATAAGAGAAAAGAAATACTAGAGCAGTGGTTCTCAACCTTCTGACCCTTTAAATAAAGTTCCTCATGTTGTGACCCAACCATAAAATTATTTTTGTTGCTACTTCATAACTGTAGTGTTGCTACTGTTATGAATCATAATGTAAATATCTAATAATGCAGGATGGTCTTAGGTGACCCCTGTGAAAGGGTCGTTCGACTGTCAAAGGGGTCATGACCCACAGGTGGGGAACCGCTGTACTAGAGGCTCCAGTATGTCTTTACTAGTACATACTGCAATGGACTTTGAGTACATGGACTCCCAGCCCAGGCAATGCTTTTACATCTTTGGAACCGTGTGTGACAAAAACACTACATTTTCAGGGCAGGGTGAAGTCAGTCTGAGCTAGAGGGCTATGGTATATATAAACTGTGAAGACAAAACTTCTACCAGGCCTTGGAAGGTGAGAAACACTTTATATAGCAAAAGGAGAGAGGGAGTAGAAATAACAAGAGAGTGCCTTGTGCAGTAGGAGAGAGTTAGGGAAAAGGACAGGATGATCTGAAGTCAGGGGACTCAACTCCCGCTGGCTCTGTCTCTTAATAGTTGACTGACTGCATGCTACATGATCTTGGAGTACTCATTTCCCCAGTTGTTATTTATTATTATTTTCTTTGTTCCACAGGTCTTTGTTATGTTGTGTAGAATTCCTTCCTTTTTTCCCTTTAAACCATGGTTAGGGCCTCTAATAAAGGAAGTTTAAATAATTGAAAAAATGTGGGAAATGTTCAACTCTTCAAGTACTCCCCCCAAAATACTCCCAAAGTTAAGAATCCTCAAACTGGTGACCAACTGTATTTCTTAGCCATTGAGTTCATGTTCAAGGCCCTGATTATAAACCTCCTATATTAGCTCCACTTTGCTAATGTCTCCCACCTTTTCCCAGACCACTTCACCAAGTTACTAATCCCTCCATATTCCTCCAGCAGGACCTGGTAACACACTCCCCTGATACAATATTAGCCAGGCCCCAAAACATTGACTTCTTATCATCTTTTAATTCTTAATTTTTTAATCAACTATCCAGATAAGAGAAGCCTTAAAGAATCGAGTAACTTCTGCAAAATGGATCTCCAGAATATCAGAGGTAAAGCCTTCATGTTCATTTTCTCACCTAAAGGTTTGACAAGATAACAATGCTGGAGTTTCTGGCATATGGGGTGTTGCTAAAACTATCCTTTAATGCTCTGTGGTAGGGAGTTTTCACAAGTGCCCAGTGAAGCTATTCAAATTCTTTCTGGAGTCCTGGGACCACATCCAAAGAAATAAAACTAGGCTTAAATGCATTCAGAGGAGCATGACAAAACATCAGGGCCAGGAGGGGCGAGCTGTACACCACACAGCAGGAGAGCAAGGGCTGAAACAGATAAACGAGAGAAGATTAAAGTCTCAGGTTCCCATGACAGCCCACTTGTTCTCTATGACTCTAACTGGTTGAACCACATCCAAAGTGTGAAAATTCAGGGAAACAAATTCTGATCCTACACAAAGAAGTATCTAATAGCTTGGTTATCAAGAGGGGTCACCAGCCATAGTTATTGGACTTGAAAAGGAAGGTTAGGGGCCTGTTCAGTCATTGGATGGTATATATGCCCTTTCACTTATCATCACTTCCTATAATTTAATAACCATGTAGTATTGGTATGCAAGGTGCAACCTGGGAAAAACTGAAAAAAATTTAAATGGCAGCAAAAGAGGGGCTTCAGGGTTGGCCCAGGAACAACCCCAGAAACAAGAGAAGAGGCCATCTGGAGTTTCCCATGCCAACATCTGGTGGGATCCACGTGGGCCAGCATGGGCTGGTGTTGGAGGAGAGTTTCAGGCAGAGGGGTGATGGGCCATTCGAGGGGTTGGGCACCCTGGGATCCTGGGTAACAGCATTGCCCACTCCCTATAATCCTTGCCTTTCTATTCCCTCTCCTTTGCTTTCCTTAGCCCTCTTTTTTTTTTCTTCCCTTTATTTTTCTATCCTTTTTTACCTTACTCTCACCAAAGCTTTGACCTTATTTCCAGCCCTTGGTCTTTATACCTGGGAGATTTCTGACCCCTCTACATTCCTTTCTTCTAAAAAATAAACAGCAACAACAAAAAATAAAATAATGGCACCTACCCCTCCAACCTCCCACCAACCTCACCATGTTTTTTTGAGAATAAAGCAGTGGTTCTAAAGCAACAGTCTTCTAAAATAATACATACATACATACATACATACATACATACATACATACCCAGGCCAGGTGGCTAATTTTGTTGGAGTGTCATCCCATGCATCTAAAGGTTGCAGCTTCAATTCCCAGTCAGGGCACATACCTGGTCAGAGCATGGGAGACAACTGATTAATGTTTCTTGAATCAATGTTTCTCTGTTTCTCTCTCTCTCTCTTCCTCCCCTCCTTTCTCTAAACATATCCTCTGGTGAGGATTAAAATAATAATATTAACAACAACAATAATAAAGCAAAGGTACTCAACCTCAGCCAAACATCAGAATCAATCAGGATGCTTCAAATAATGTTGCCTGGGTCCCAATCCTGAAGGTTCTCATTAACTTAGTCTGCAGTGTGGCTTGGGTTTTGGGTGATTTTCATGTAGTCGAGGTTGAGAGGCACTCATCCAAGCCTTCCTGAAGTGTCTTAGCATCGTAAAGATGTTCACACCAGTACACCCCCTATAAGCATTCCCTACTGCCTCACTCTGGTCTGCTACCATGCTCTCAGGAGAGAGGCATGGCTCTTCCAATCCCTTCCCATTTAGCACAGCTCCTATCCTTATGTGTTTTTAGTATTGATCCATTCAGGGAAATTCTGTTCTTCAATGGTTTGGAAAAATAATATTAAATAGTATTATATATATATATATATATATATATATTGCTTTCAGAGAGGAAGGGAGAAGGAGAGAGAATCATTGATCAGCTGCTTCCTGCACGCCCCACACCGGGGATCCAGCCGGCAACCCAGGCATGTTCCCTGATCGGGAATGGAACCATAACCCCCTGGTTCAGAGGTCAATGCTCAACCACTGAGCCACTCCAACTGAGCAAAATAGTTGTGTTGTTTTTTTGTTTTTTCCCCTAAATATATATCAGGATTGTCAGGATCATATCAGAACCTTATCATCAGTTTTTTTGTTTTATTGTCTGAGCCAGTGGTTTTCAATGCTGGTTGAACCTGAGAAATACCTAGAGAGTTTTTTTAAAATACCACTATCCTGACCCCACCCACAGAGAATTTAAACAGAAAGTCTCAGGGGTAGGGCCTAGTCTTTGGTTGTTTTTTTTTTTTAAGTTCTCTAGTGGTCCTAAGTGCTGCCAGGGTTAAGAACCACCGGTCTACGTACTAGGTAAATTTATCCTAACCTCTCGCAGCCCTTCCCTCTCTCTGCCCACTAATTTTCTGTTATTGGAAGTCAGTTTCATCAGCCTTGCTCAGAGCAAGTAGGCTTGCCATCTGTTTTCTCCTCCCCTGCTTTGCAGGCCTCTGACCCCTAGGTGGCAGTCCTCTACAGTCCGGGTTGAACTTCTTGTGAGACCTGCCTGGAGTGTCCGCCCAGGTTCCCAACCCAGGCTAATCAATGTGCTTGTCTGGGTTCATTTAATATTTGATGTGATGAATTAGTCTATGCTCATGTGGTAATAATTCTACCATTCAATTAATGTATTGCCTATCCTAGGCAACATATGCCTCAAACACAGGGTATTTTAGACTCAGGCCTGTAACTTAGAAGATTTCAGCAGGTCAGCTAAGAAGAAAAGATTTAGGGGATAGGAAATATGTTCGTGTTGATCTCTCCTTCTAGTCCACTCAACTGCCTTCTCTCCTTTCCCTCCCAAACTAGAGGCTCCTTCCAGAGAAGGAGCCAGGCAGGCCAAGGAGGGGGTATCTCTCCCGCCAGCCTGTCCCTGTGTTGTCAGCAGTTTGAATACAAAGAGAGGGAGAAAGTGAAATGTTAAATAAATTGCTGTAGGTTACAGTTCTCCATGTGCTTTGGATAATTGTGATCATTGAAAACAGAGCAATAATAACTGAAATTATACTTCTGTCTTCAACAGAACCTTTCTTCTGATTTCTCTTGTCGCCACACCAAAGGGCCAAGCTAACAAACCAGGCCACACTCCTAACTTGGGAGGTGAGTGCAAAGCAAGTGGGGTCCTATATACATACATGCTACACATAAGACATTTCTTTGGGGGGGAAATTGCAATTTGATTAATTCTGATTAGAAATGATTTTTGTGTTGCTTGAAAGGATTCTCCTTATGCAATCTATTCTCATCTAGCTAATGTCAGAGGTACATTCACACTTCTGGTTCTCGCACTACCGAAATTTTGGTTGTTCCTGTGAAACCACTGGGCCTGTCAGAGAATGCTCTTGAATCAGCATGGGTATATTTAAGAGGAGAGTGGGCAGAGGTGCCGGCTCTTCACAGCTGCTCTCCCCTCACTCCCCTTTTCTAGTTCCCTAGCCCCAGGACATCTTCTGTGACATCAATAATATCCCCATGTTTCTCACTGAGGGAAATCCTTTCCCTCGTGCTAAACAATCAAGGAATTATGAAATACACTGTCTATGTGAGGTCTCAAGGATAATGTAGAAGCGCATTTACATTTGAGGATAGTGTCTGAGAGATATACAGAGACACAGAGAAAAACACAGTAAGAAAGGGAACCATGGGGGGAGGAAGGGGTTGGGGAAGAGAAATAGAGATACTTACCAAGAGGCATGACAACTCACTGTTGGAAGAGAGCCATCTACATACACAGAAATGTGCAAAGGGTCTTCCAATCGCTGTGTCCACGGCCCTGTAGATCTAGAGAGAGAAGATCAAACAGGGAGACAGAGACACCCACACCGGGACACCCACATTCACAATCAGGGAGAGAGAGGCACTCAGATGTATCTAGAGAGAGCCCACCACTCCCACCCCAACACATCCGGGTTCCAGCAGCCTCTGTGGCTGAGACCTTCTTCAACAGCCCAGGGCCTTTTACAATGAAAGGGATATTTCCCAGGAAGAAAGGAAGTGGTCCAGCTTAAAGAAAGACAAGGTTTTTAACTCAGCACTTGTAGGCAGTAGAACAAGCCTGTTCCCTGGATTCCAGAGGGACTTAAAGGGAAGAGCCTCTCCATCCACCAAGGAGACTCTACCCAAAGGGGGCTTATCATTCCAGAAAGAGTGAACCCACAGTACAGTTGGTGTGGGGCTTTAGGGTCTTGCTGCTTGTACATTAAAGCTGTGATTCTCTATTCTTAACAAGGTCATACATTCCACGAATGGCAGAACCCCCAGGAGAAGTGTGTTTATTCCTGTCGTCTGGCCCCTGGGGAGTATGAAGACAGCTTGTGGTGCTGATTGAGGAGGGCGTGACTACGGAAAGGATGGAAGGCCCCTCTGTCTACTTCTGTGCTGCTAATCGCTTCTCTCTCATCAACTGTCAACACATATATGCCATTCTGGGCATCTACAGGGAACAGAAAGACAAAGTGGGCCACAACTGGGCCTTAATCTTGTTGAGGCCTCTGGAAAAGCACTCTGGCTCATTTTGACAAAGGTGTCCTGGGATGTCACCTGGCTGGATTCTGTGGGTTGCTGAGGGAGGGGCCCTCACCAACAGTTGGGCTGACTCTAAGTAGGTCATTGCTGGCTCTCTGTACCAAAGGAATCCTATTGCCAGCATATTCCACTCCTCCAAATTTAAATGGTTGCATGGTCAACCTGGCTTGGGCTTCAATGCAACTTTTTTTTGTGGCTGTGAACCAAGTGAAATAGGTAGAGATTTTGAACCAGAAAGATGCTCATTTTAAGTTAAGGAGACTGAAGCCTAGAACAATGGGTCACAGCTAATCAAGGCTTGAGCCAAAGGCAAAAACCCAAGTCTGCAGGCTTCTAGTCCTGGGCTTTCTTCAAAGGCAAGGCACTGCTGAAGGACACTGTCTACTCTGACAATATGATTAACCCTCACCAACAGCATGGTTTGTTTTAAACATGGGATGAGAAAGGGGAAATATCATGTTTCAAGTAGAGAGCTGCTCATTTTCTTATCTTTGTATGTAAACAAATTCATCATTCAAAGCTCATTTTCTTATCTTTGTATGTAAACAAATTCATCATTCAAAGCAGGTCCCGCCTAATAGGAGATCAGTATTACAGATAGAAGCCCCTTTTTAAAAAAAAAAAAAAAGGAAGAAAGAAAGAAAGAAAGAAAGAAAGAAAGAAAGAAAGAAAGAAAGAAAGAAAGAAAAAATGCTCCTTTATAAAATGAGTACACAGGTTGATGAATCAGAAGAAAAATTAGTGGATAAAGAAAAGGGGTCAATGGATAGCCCCTAATTATCTTACCAGAAGCCTGCATTAATGATGTTACATTACAAATGGAAACACAAGACTCACTTTGTGAATGAGTGGGATCTCTCTCTCTTTCTCTCTCTTACAAAAAATTTCCTCTAAGTAGGAAAGTTTGAGAAAGTTAAATTGTAATAAAGAAGTCCATCAGAAGGTAGAAAAAAAATACACCAATCTGGAGAAGGAGTCATCTTTCAAGTGGCATTGCTCATGTCGGGACGACAATTGTCCCTGTCTCCAATGAAGGCAGAAACGACATTCCCAGTATTTCTGTCGGGTCTCTTCAAGGAAAGGGTGTGGGGACAGGCACAGTGTGGGTTCTCGATGCACAGATTTCAGTGCAAAGAAATGTCCTTTACCCAGAGTGGATACATGGAAGTGAGGAGGGAACTCTCATGAAGCCAAATAGCTATAAGAATGTGAATCTGGAACTTTAGAAAGGACTGGGTCCAATTGTCCCATTTTACAGATTAGAACTCTAAGCATGAGAGGGTGGGGGAAAGGGAGAAAGAGAGAGAGAGGACATTCATCCGCATTGTGCATTGAGCAGTCACATCTAGCATGAAAGCACACTCTACTCCAATGTACTCACACCTTGCAATAGGATGGCAGGGAAAACATTCTACCTAGGGATTATTATTAACCAAGAAAGGCCCATGGATGCTAAGAGAGAAACTCTGGAATTATTTGGAAATCCTTTGAGCAAGCTGTGCACTCTCCCCTGCAGCCTACCACCCAGTCTGCTCCATCCTGAAAGATGTCAATAAACTTGCATGGACCAGCTTGGCTGTGGATGACCCTGGGTGAAAACGCATTCAATGTCCTGTTCACACCTCACCAAGGAAGTGACTGGTCAGGTGGCTCAAGGAAAAATTGGTGCTAACAGTGTCTAAGACAGAGGCATAGTGAGAACTCATTGGCAGGTATTTAAATTTCTTGGACTTTAATTTTCTTACCTATACATTGAGGAAACTAGAGCCTACCTCATAGGGTTGTTGTAAAGATTAGGTGAACATTTGGAGGTAAAGAATAGAATAGCACTTGGCAAATAGCAGTTGGCCATTAAAATGTGAGCAGTTTTCATGAGAATACCTGTGAATTCATGCACACACACAAGCACACGCAAGTGAGCACACAGCTATAACCATGAGTTTGACTGGAGACACTCCCATGGGAGTTAGTCCAGTGACTTCTAAATAAAAGTTAAGTATTTGATTCAGCCAATAAAGTCTGCTGAGCTTGCCATGACTGACCCTTTCATCCAATGTTACCACGGCCGTAAGATATAGTTCCTTGCCCAGGAACGAGTATACATAATGGTTCTACTCAGGGCACCCTGCGTCTGAGTTCTGCTTCACCCTGTGCCTTCTCTGTGAAAGCTCTCTTGATTCGTCTGACCAGAGTGCTGGCTCTCCCCTCCTGGTTTCCTGTAATATTTATAATCTGTGCCATTCACTTCATGTTTAGTATTTATTGTGTTTACTTTCAGTATTTTTTGTGTGCATATATTTTCTAGATACCCCTGTAGACCTTTGGGGACAGGATTACTGACCTTTGTGATTTACCATGTTACTCGCTTTTGTATGTCCAAATGCAGACCAAGGCACCGTGCCCATAGAATATGTTCAATAAAGTCCTTTGATTACACAACCAAAGGTTTGATGATACTGACTTTTCCAATTCCCACATGGCCTGGTACTTGACTGGCAACCTCAATGAAACTGACCTATTTCCACAAGTGTCACCTCCCTGATCTTCCTTACTATAAAAGATAGAACCACAATGCCTTTCACTTCCCCTGGCAATATTTAAATGGAGACTTGCATTGAATTTTGGAGTCAAGAAGATATGTAAGTAGAAGACACTAGAATAGAGATGTATGGGACTATTGGGTGATAGGAAGGACAATACAAACTGGCTACCTGTCTGAAGTCAGGTTATGTGATGTTTCCCGACTTTTCCTTCTGGTCTGAAGTCCCCATGGCCAGGGCCCCAGGGAGAAGCTCAGTAAGAACTACTTGTCCCAGTCACTAAAAAATAAAACAAAAATCTATTTGATGCTAAGGTAGGGATTACTACTGATCAATTGCCTAGGCTTTTTTCCCCAAGTTCAATATCAGTACAGGCAAAAAGATGATAGCCTTTAAACATGATCAACAACAGTGGCAGAACCTTGCATTGTATCCTCCAGTTCTAATTACACCCGTGCCGTGGATGCAAACAGAGTCTGATCATCTGAGATAAAGGTGAGAAATTAAAGGACAAACAAGTGACTCATTCTCATGGCTCTGCTTCAGACAAGAGAAACCTGTAATTTCTCTTAGGCGTGCTTGACGGACCCAGGTGGAGTGAATCACAGACTTACACAAGACTTGAAACCACGGCCAGTTCTACAGTTCTCATGTTGGCCTCTCACAGCAGACAGCAGGTTTGCATGGGGGCTCCTGGATTTCCCCTTCAAAACATGGAGAAGCAGGACCGCAGCCCCTGAAGGGGGACCGGGGGAGGGGCCGAGGCAGGTGCACGTGATGGTGGGGCCCGGAGGTGGGAAGCTCAGCGCCAACCTTCCTGCTGGGCCGCTGGATCTCCTGGATGCCGTGAGTACACCTGCCATGCCAGCACCTTTCTCCTGGAGACGGGATTGTCTTTGCTGGTATTCCAGAATGGGGAGGAGGTGTGATTCGGGATGGTATTTTCTGAAATGCTTGATTATGTAGGGATCTCTCCTAACATTATATAGAAATTGACTAGCTCAAGGTTAGAGTATTTTCTGTCTCCTTTGCATTTGTTTTCCTTTAAAAAGCCATTTGTAGCTCAGTTCGGGCAGCTCAATTGGTGTTAGGGCATCATCCCGATTGGATCCCCAGTCAGGGCACATACAAGAATCAGCCAACGAAAGCATAAATAAATGGAACAATAAGAAAATCTCTCTCTCTCTCTCTCTCTCTCTCTCTCTCTCTCTCTCAAGTCAATGAATACAAAAATTAAATAAATTAAAAAAATAAAAAGTAATTTGTTAGGCTCTAATTGCTCAGTCCTAGGAGTGAAAGTGCAAAACACCTTGTCAGGCAATTAAACTGTCTGTTCTCCGCTTGTCCCCTTGCCTGACAAATTGGATGATCAAACTAGCTTGCAATTCCCTTCCTTTAGGCTGAATATAAAGCTAGATTTTTAATTTTTACATTTTTATTTTTTAATAAATCTTTATTGTTGAAAGTATTACTTATATCCTAGATTTTTTTTAAATAAAGCATTCTCTAGTAGCTTGTTTTTTCAGTGGGGCGGACGAAGCTGTCTTTCTATCAACTTACAAGGAAACATTTCCTACAGTTAAAAGTTGCTAAAAGGCATCCTCCCCATTTCGAGTGGCCACTAGTGTGACACTTGATGATTTATGTCTCTTATACTCTGAGGTCAATTGTGGGAATGCAAATACGTTGCATCACAGGGTGCGATTTTTTTAGTGTCAGCACTCCAGTGAGCTTTGTTCATGGAGCAGAGCAATTGCTCAGTATATCAATTTCTTTAAAATCATCTCAGCACCAACATAGTTGCTGAAACACTGAATGCCTTCGAACTCTGAAATCATGTGATTCTTCAAACTTGTCAGAATTTAAATCCGAAGTGCAATTCTCAGGAAAGATACTGAGCTATAAAGAGATTGGCTGGAAGCCATCTAAAATCGCCCAGGATGCGAAGTTTCTGGTTCTAATAGATCAATGGTTCTCAACCTGTGGGTCGCGAACCCTTTTGGGGGTCGAGCAACCCTTTCACAGGGGTCGCCTAAGACCATCGGAAAACACATATATAATTACATATTGTTTTTGTGATTGATCACGATGCTTTAATTATGTTCAACTTGTAACAATGAAAATACATCCTGCATATCAAATATTTACATTACGATTCATAACAGTAGCAAAATTACAGTTATGAGGTAGCAACGAAAATAATTTTATGGTTGGGGATCACCACAACATGAGGAACTGTATTAAAGGGTCGCGGCATTAGGAAGGTTGAGAACCACTGTAATAGATCACTTACATCTTCCTTTCCGCCAAGGCTCTTTATGAACCAGCTCCTCTATGGCCAGGGAGGAGTGACTGCCTGCACTCTGTTATTGAGGCCAACAAATGTGCCAGCAACTTGCTTGGCCATCTGGCTATAGAATCAGAGTTCCAATTACACTAGTGGCATGGATGGGACATACAGTTATGAAATTAGGCTGCAGGGAACCAGGCACATACACCCCCCACCCCCTCACACACACACACACACCCAGATGTGGGTCACCTAACTCTTTCTCCAGTTAACCCTTTCAGAACTGGTCCTTCCCATCCATGGGACTGGCCAAGAAGTAAGAGGTGAGTTGCTGCCTGGAAGGTTAGCAAACAATGGGGAATATGCCCTCCCTGTCACCTTGGGGTGAAGTTCCATGGGGAGAGGCACTTTGGGAAAGTGTCCGCTTTGTTTACAGGAATTCCCATATAACTCCCCTCCGGGTGTTGTTCTGCATGAAGAGTTTTGAGAGATCAGACCTTGGGAGGTCCTGCTTCCTCCCTGACTGCAGTTATAGTTCCCAGGCTGTGCCCTTTTACATTTTTATTTTTTGAGAGTCCTGATGCCAGCTCTCACTCAGCGTGTTCAGACAGGTGGGGTGCCTCCGGCTGCGTGAGTCATCTCCTACAACTCCATCCGAAAGAAGCTCCAGGACCCACTCGGACTAAGCGTATTTTTGAATTCCAACTCATTCAGAAACTCAGCTCTAAGTACAAGGAAGATGGGGCCAATAAGAGCTGCTTGCACTGCATGCTCGTGGCAGACGTCACTCATCAGGCCTGGCGTTGTTGCTTGCTGCCCCTAGGTGGGACCTCACAATCCTTTTTTAATATAAGGTCTAGACAAAAGGAGATCCATAGTAGGCTGGGAGCATTTCAACTTAAATTACCACATTCCGAAATTATTTAGAGTTGCAAATATGTGTGCCTGCCCCTCTGAGATAGAACAGTTGCCCTGTGATTTTAAAACAAACACTTTAGCCTTAGCTGGTTTGGCTCAGCGGGCAGAGCGCTGGACTGTGGACTGAAGGGTCCAGGGTTCGATTCCAGTCAAGGGCACATGCCCAAGTTGTGGGCTCAATTCCCAGTAGGGAGCGTGCAGGAGGCAGCCAATTGATGATTCTCTCTCATCATTGATGTGTCTATCTCCCTTTCCCTCTCCCTTCCTCTCTGAAATCAACAAAAATATATTTTAAAAAATAAAAATAAAACCAACACTTTAGAAGCTGCCATCACTCCCTGTGAGACACTCATTCATTCTTTCGCTTGTCCACAAATGTGTCCCTCATGTACCTTATGCTCTGCAAGGTGCTGGGGACAGAAAAACTGCCCACTGTATTCACGTCTTGACAAATGGTATCATGATTTATTTTTATGTTTTATTTTTTGCCTCTTCCGCTAGATGCAGCCCAATTCCTCCTAGGCTCTTGGGCTAAAGTAGTAAAGTCTTGCGCTCTGTGGACCTCTTGTCATTATAGCTTAGGGTCACAGCAGTGGTGTGAGAGGCGCCCGTTGCTGGGAATTCCCTGGGAGGAAGATCCTGAGACACATTTCTTCTGGGGCTATTGTATGTAGTTATATTTTCCTTTAAGTCTCTGAGGCCAGTGAACGCTATTTTCTCTCTGTTAGATCAGGGAGCCTGGCTTCCATTCAGTAGCTTAGAATGCTGTTTATCATCAAGTAAGAGACAGAAGTGGGTGGTCGTGGATAATCATGCCTTAATAAGGACACGAGAGAGAGACGGGTGGTGGAAGCAGGAGGAGGAATTCGAGACATTCTTTTCATAGGTCCCGAGAAGCTGTCAGCCCAGGTTGCTTGTTGCTTTTATGGCTGAAATGTCATCGTTCAGACACTTTGGGAACAGGATGTGGAGTTGCTTTTGTCGCGTGACTAGCCTAGAAGCCGGAGGGAACTTGTTTGTGAAGGTCAGATACCTCATTATATACGAAACTACCACAGGGAGTCTCAGGCAGGAATTCTTTGGCATCTTGTTTTCTCTCCCTCATTTGTATTCTCTTTTCTGAGTCTGTCTTCCCTTCCCTGGTGATCATTCCAAACTTCTGATTGCCAAGCCACTTCGTGCCTGCCTTCCCTCACCTCTCCACTCTGAGCATCACGTTTCAGAATAATTCTGACTCGTTTCACAGATTAAAGATGATCTATCCGTCTGTCCACAGCATCCTTCTTTCAGGATTGACTAAAGCCCACACTCTTACTCACTAGTGGGCAACTGTGGGTCCAGTGTGAGTAGCTTAAGAGCTCACAGGGAACTGGCATGTGGTAGGTTCCCTGTAAATGCAAGTGGAGTCTGAGCCTGGATAGGTTAATGTGTTATACTCCAAGGTAACACTGTCCTCAAATAGCAGCCTTAAATTCCCCAAAGTACTTTTGATGATCAAGTAAATTTGGCAAAACCTGGGTCAGTCTTCTTACTGGAATTGCTCTCAGAGTCTTTGCTATGTGTAGGTGTGGGTGAAGGAGCGGCAGTGACACGCTGTTTCCCAAACTGATCTGACCTTGTAACCCCTCAGGCTTTTGTGAGACCAGTGCTCCAGAGAAACCCACTTCAGGACACAATATGTTGGCCAAATGCAATAGACACAAACTCTGTATTTTTTCCCTACTAAGAGTAAAGCAGGTAAACTTACTGAATTCATAGAATATTTAAGTCAGTGGGTACCAGTGTCCTCGTTAAGTTTTTCTTCCATTTTTTTTAAATTTAAGTTTGGTGGGTGCTACAAATTGTTGGCAAACAACTGGTGGGCCCTGGGCAGAAACATGCATATTATAGCACTGTCCTGTCAGGATTACTATTTACTGTTTTTATTTTCCCCCATTGGGTACAAGGTTCTGGATTGATTGGTTAATTGATGGATTGTTAATATCCCAAGTTTATTTTTATGACTGTACATATGGGGGGTCCATAAAAATGTGAAACCTTAAGAGCTTGATTTAAATAGCCAGTGATAGTTCGCCAAACAGTATTAAGCCCAAGGAATTTGTGGAAATAGGGATTTCACAAAGACACAGAGTTTTTGCTAAATCAGTGATGGTGAATCTTTTGAGCTCGGCGTGTCTGCATTTGAAAAACCCTAACTAAACTCTGGTGCCATGTCACATATAGACATTTTTTGATCTTTGCAACCATAGTAAAACAAAGATTTATATTTTTGATATTTATTTTATATATTTAAATGCCATTTAACAAAGAAAATCAACCAAAAAAATGAGTTCGCGTGTCACCTCTGACACGCGTGTCAGAGGTTCGCCATCACCGTGCTAAATTGAACACACTGTAGAATCAGAGGTTAATAGATGGCATAAAGGTCATCTGAGCTAAAGTACGTGGAGAACTCTGGATTCTCCATGTAGGAAAGGACATCACAGTGACTCCAGCCACTCTTTAGCAGGAACAAACAAACAAGCAGGAGAGTTTGCCTCAGTGAGGTTCACATCTGAACGCTTCTTCTGATGGCATGCCCATGTTTTGCTGATATTCTTCTGGACAATCCACACTCCTCTTGTCACAGTTAATTGAATATATTTAGATTCTGTGTCCTTGTTCTTTTCTTTCCCTCATTATTTCAAGAGATAATGTTCTACATGCAGGCACTGTTCTAGGTATTGGAGAGGTACCTTATTTGTACCTGCAGATAGTTTTCAGTTGGGACTTAGGCAAAACTCAAAGTTCACTTGAACTGCTAATTCTTTATCAGCGATAAATCTAAGAACGTGTGCTTCCTTCATTAAATATCCACCTGTGATTTTGGATTATGCTGGCTTCTTTTTAATTTTTAAAACGTTTCCATCCTCAGAGTCTTATGCTCTGCTTGCTGTCTGCTCTGAAGAGCACTCTGGCTTTTGGCCTCGGCCATTATTCAATTCTGATGGTAGGGCTCCCATTCAACTCTATCTGGTAGGAAAAGAAATAACCCAGTGGGGCCTAACTTGAAAACATCTACCCATCCGGCCCATGCTTGCCAATTAAACTGGGCAAAAATAAGAATGTTATAATGCCTCTTGGGTAACATCATAAACATTTTCCACCCCTCCCACACACATTTATAATAACTGAAGGAAATTTACCATGTAATTATCATACCAAATGGTATGTGGGTTACCTACAGTAGACTATAGCAACATGAATGAGCAAGTAGCAAGTTCATTAACTGAAACGCCCAAATAGCCAAATGTGCTCAGTTCAAAGTTTGTGTTTCTTATGGTCATGCTTATGATTTATTTTGCATATACCTGGTATATTTCTGCTAGTATACGTTGCCGCAACCTTTTGCAGCAGGAGTTCAGGATCTGAAGAAGGGGTAGATGCACAAATGAAAATACTATACAAGAAATATGAATTTAGAAGGCATAGGGGGCCAGGTAGAGACTTCTTTCTTGGAGAACCACACTGGAACCTGGCCTTATCTGCTTTTTATTTAGTTTTAGATACACATCTTGCTCTCAGTAAAGCACGAGAAACAGGTAGCAGACAGACCGTCTCTAAGGTCAATAAAGATCAATAAAGATCAGTAAGGTCCAGTAAACATTTACTTTGAGGCTATTAGGTCAGGAAATTGCTTCCAGCCACCGCTATCTCAACACAGCCCTGCTAAGTCCAAGGTCCATCGGCCTTCTGCATTCTTTGGTGCACTCTTATGATAGTACTGAGAAAGCAGTGGCTTCCCGCATACGTTTTTAGTTTATGTGAATATATAAAATGTATTATTATTTCCTAATGTTCTACAAAGAGTATAATGATCTACATAAAATGCCATGACCATTGGCCCCTTTACTTGAATCCTTTCAGGATTTGCACACCTGGAGGCCCTAGCACTCCTTGAGGAAACATTTTTGGACTCCCTAATTCACACAACATCCCATCACATCTTAAGCCAAATGCCTGACTTCTTTTTTTTTTTTTAATATATTTTATTGATTTTTTACAGAGAGAAAGGGAGAGGGATAGAGAGTTAGAAACATCGATGAGAGAGAAGCATCAATCAGCTGCCTCCTGCACACCCGCTAATGGGGATGTGCCCGCAACCAAGGTACATGCCCTTGACCGGAATCAAACGTGGGACCCTTCAGTCTCCAGGCCAACGCTCTATCCAGTGAGCCAAACCAGCTAGGGCAAATGCCTGACTTCTTTCTAGCAAGATTAGCTTATGCAAAGTTCCTACGCTGAAAACTTAGAGTAAAAGTGGCCCTCCTCTGCAGCCTTAGATAGGAAGCACTATTGCTTATAAATGCCTGCTGTTGGCTCCCCTTCCTCCATTTAACTGCATTTCAAACCATCATCTCCAGATAGAAGAGAATTGCATTTATCTTCAGCATCAGTCCTTTTATGTGGTCCTGAATATAGGTATCTTTTCTCCCTGATACATATACCCAGGCAAGGAAATTTCAACATCATTGTAAAGAATAGCAAAGAGAAAGGATCAAAATGACCACTTTAATCAGAAAAGTGAACAATTTTCAACTGGATAATGAAATAAATCTATTTTTTCAGTTATATATGGATACCCATATATACATATACACATATTTGTCTGTATACACTGAGTCACAATATAAGATCTGTTTCTTATTGTGTCATATTAAAAATTTGTGCAACCTACAGGTATACAGATGAAACACATGGATACATTTAAGCCAAACTATACTGGTTCTTCAGGTACTTCTTTTTGTGATCATCAGTTAAAAATTCATCTAAATAATATTTACATTGCAAATTGCTTAGTGTGCTCATCCACCAATGAGCACTATATAAATGAGAACTTCTTTCCACCTACACTATAAGATCAAGAATTCTGCACACATATCCCAACACCCATATAGATCTATTACCACACTTTTCCGGTCATTCTGCCATGTTCACTTTCCTCTGCCCAGACTGGATCTACAAGACATTGGTATAAATCAAAATACTTTCCCCTGTTCAATGGTTAGAAACTCAAAGATGATTTTAAACTCAAAGACAATTTGGAAACTTCCCTATAAGTGACCGTGTCTCATCATCTCACTTGAAGGCTCACTAGAGTCATGAAAGCCCATCTCAGTTTTGACTCCACCCAGGAAAAGTTTGACTGCAGATCAGTGATTTCATCTGCTGCCTGGCCACAGATGGCCTAGAGAGATCAAAGTAAGTTCATCTCTATTTGACCATAAAGGGACTTTTCTTTCCTGAAGGCTAGGTGTCTGCCAAACCTTGTTCACTAGGTACAATATATAGATAATCTCTCTTCCCACCATCGGTTTGACTTTTCTTTGTTCCCCATTGGACACCCTTTAAGAATAAAGAGATTAACAATTCTTCTCCACCCAAACCACCTGGTTGAACTCTTGGCTCCACCATCTTTCATCTGAGTGACTTTGGCTCATAGTTGCTCAAGTCATTGTGCCTTAGTTTCTCCATTGATAACATGAAACCAGTAATACTATCTTGTACCGCATGATTACATGAGTTTATTGCAGCGAAAGTGATTAGAACAGTGATTAGCAAATAAAAGTTCTTGAACATTTTATTATTAAAGAAAGTTGTGGATTGAATAAGAAATGCTGCTTTGGCCGAAACCGGTTTGGCTCAGTGGATAGAGCGTCGGCCTGCGGACTGAAAGGTCCCAGGTTCGATTCCGGTCAAGGGCATGTACCTGGGTTGCGGGCATATCCCCAGTAGGAGATGTGCAGAAGGCAGCTGATCGATTCTCTCTCATCGATGTTTCTAACTCTCTATCTCTCTCCCTTCCTCTCTGTAAAAAATCAATAAAATATATTAAAAAAAAAAAAAAAAGAAATGCTGCTTTGGCGAACATATATTTTCCCTGGTACTTCCATCATTCTTGCTACTGTTTGTAGACAAGTCAATAGTTAACAGACAGTCTGCTTTTTCCTGAGGTAGGTTGTTTGGTATAAATATCTCAAGTACCCAATGGCGTCACTCACTGGTTGGTTTTTCTGTGAAGTATTGTGCTAGTTATCACTTTCAGCCGGCTGCACCTTCTTTCTCTATTGCAGGTGAAGATCCCAATGTGTGAAAATGAAGTCCCAGTCAACCATGATCTGCTGTTTAATGTTATTTCTGACCACAGAATGTTCTCAGTATAGAGCCAAGATCCACATAAAAGTAAGTAGAATGTTCTCACTATAGGTCCAAAAGCCCCTTGAGAAAACTGGCAGTTCGTCTAGATGGCTAGTTTTATGACAAACGTGTCATGTTAAAGACATTTTCAAATGGCTGCCATTTTACTCTTGCCAATATTAGTTTTCCAGAGACAGGAAGAAAGACAACTTGAGAGGTGGCTGGGACTTGCAACAGTATCGTTGCAAGGTGCAGCAGGGTACAACAACATAGGAGAAAAATCACTTTGAAACCACAGAGAATATAGAGAGGCAGCAACTGAAAGGAGGAAGTACAGTCATGATCTTCTTAATGACGGGGATATGTTCTGAGAAATGCATCATTAGGTGATTTAGGCCATTGTGCGAACTCCATACAGTGCACTTACACAAACCTACATGGTATAGTGTATTACACACCTAGGCTACATGGTGTATCACAGTCGGACACACGGTCTGTCATTGACCAAAGCATCATTAGGTAGGACATGACTGCACTATCCTGGCCGTTAGGTAGTTGACAGATTTAGATTCAGACCTTAACTTTGTTTGATTCTTGTTAGTTACACAAGTTGCTTCACTTTTCTGAGTTTAATTTACTTATCTATAACATGAAGGGTATGTGTTTTTTTTCTTTTAGATAAACTTGATAGTTCTTTATAGCTATAAAAGATTTTGTGATTCCATTAGTACAACCAAATGCTGACTTCTAGTATCAGTTCATTTCTCTTTTTCTCAATATATGCTGGAGTACATAAGCTGCATTTCACAGTTACAGTTAAGATAGGCAGAGAACAGCTTAGTGCTGGAATTGTCCTCTGTGTGGTCTCTCTGAACACTTAGACTTTCCAAAAGATGGACGCAATCCACTAACCTGACCTTCAGAGTCCAGGTGACCAGCGACAAGGTTCTAGTCCTTCTTGGAGGGCAGTGTGTTCTCTGTCCATGCTCACATCCATGTTTCCTTCAGCAAGTTCCTGCGGTATCAGCACATGAACCCACTGCATTTTTCTTCCTAGTCCTGAACACATTTTCTCTTCACATCCACATGGAGCCTCTAAGTTGAGATGAGAGAGGAGAATTCCACAGTAAAGAGGACCTTTGGGAATTTGTGTTTTACAGGATGGAGATAAACGTCAACATCCTGAAGAGAAACCCAAGACTCGAAGGATACAAGGTATGTGGCTACAGAAGAGTCTTCTTCCATTTGAAAACATGGCATGTCCCAGACCACAAGTGCTCCAAGAAAATACAAAAATCTCCAGGACTCCAATGACATGAATGATGACTATCAGATCTTTTGTGATAGTCCCATAATTCCCAGAGGTTTTGTTCATTCTTCTTTTTTTAAAGTCTGTTTTCTCTATATTGTTCAGATTAGGTAATACCTACTTTTGAATTCACAGGTTCTTTCCTCTGTCCTCTTCCCTCCTGTTCTTTTTTATTTTATTTATTTTTTTATTGTCTAAAGTTTTACATATGTCTTCTTTTTCCCCAATTGACCCCTCCCCAGCCATTCAAACCGCGGGCAAGCCCCCACTTTCCCAGTGTCTATGTCCATTGGTTATGCTAATATGCATTCATACAAGTCCTTTGGTTGCTCTCTAACCCCAACCCCCTCCCCTGCCATTTGTCTCTGGATCTATTCTTGTTCATCAAATTATGTTGATCATTATATCCCACATATGAGTGAGATCATGTGATACTTATCTTTCTCCAACTGGCTTATTTCGCTTACCATAATGCATTCCAGTTCCATCCATGCTGTGCTGTTGCAAATGGTAAAAGTGTCATTGGAGTCCTGGAAGCAGTGAGCACTAGCCACACATACTTGATGACATTTTCAAGAAACATCTCAGGAATGGACAACAGTGGTGAGGGAGGAAAGGGTGCAAAGCTGGGGTGGAAGAATATGGAACATGCTTCAATGTCACTGTAGCTTACAGCCTAGTTTATAAGGACATGTTGACCGTCCTCTGAAAACTAGATGCAAATTGAGTGAGAATGATCAGGGGTTGGTGGTGGTGCTGGGAGTGCTGCCTGAACAATAGAGACAAGAGCCTGGAAAATATGGCCTTCACCATTAGTGTGACCCAGTAGTACCATAGAGCCTGGGAAATGTGGTTGATGTTTACTTTTCTAGATTTTCCAAAGTGGCTACATAAATAATAGATGCTCATAAACATGATGGACAAATAAGTAAACAAATGATCTCATCTATACAAACAGAATATATATATATATATATATATATATATATATATATATATATATATATAAAAGTTCTCAATGTTTACCAATAGTGATAGATTTTCTTACAATTATACCATTATCCATGGCATAGTCAATGAAGAAAGTTGGCAAATATTCACAGATTCTAGAATAGTAGATAAGTGTTCATTTAAAAACCCACAAGGAAAATCCATTTGAAATAACAAGCTAACAAGAGGCAGAAGAGGGGAAAGGACATTATTCATTCATGTCTTCATCCAAAGATATTTTTGTATTGCTTCAATGTACGTAATGCTTTGGTGCTGAGAGGTATGTTGAAGTGATGTCAGATAGATATTGTATTGGTGAAACTGGTCACTCTTGAGAAGAGAAAGACAAACTATGCAAGTAGTTATTAGTCATAAAATAGTGAAATCTTGTGATTCTCACCCAAATAATAGGAATAAACTGGATTCTGCACATTCATGACAAATATTTTTGGTGGCAGATAAATCTCTACTTAGATATGGAATTGAAAAAGGAAAGAGGAGAAAATTGGAGATACTTTATTGAACATTTATAGCCTAAGTGCTGCACAAGATGCTGTCTCTCATTTAGTGTTTGTAACAACACCATGGTCTCATCTCCAAATTATATAAACTGAGAGGCACTCAGTTTAAATAACTGCCAAATTGATACACTGGGTAAACCCACTTGTTTCCTTTCTCTGTGAATGGAGTCATCCACAGAGCTATCCAAGGCATAAATGTGGGTGTATTCTTATCTCACAGCCAATCACCACGTCATATTGATGTCAACACCTTAATAGCTCTCAGCCTCATTTACTTTTCTCCATTTCCCTGCCACTCTCTTAGGAATACTTCAACAGCTTCATTCCTGGGTTCTCTGCCTCAAGTCAATTCACTCTACCCATGGGCCAAAAGAAGCCTGCCACCAGGTTTTGTAAATAAAGTTTTATTGGAACCCAGCCATGCCCATTCACTTACATATTACCTTTGACTGCTTTCACGCTACAAAGGCAGAGTTGAGTAGTTGTCACCGAAACTGTATAGCCCACAGTGTTGAAACTATTTACTCTGTGACAAGTATAGTCATATTTGGCAAATAAAAACATAGGATTCCTGGTTAAATTTAAATTTCAGAAAAACAATGAATAAGAATGCATGGACCATATATACCCTAAAACATTATTCATTGTTTATCTGATCATCTTCAGTCAGTCCTCATTATTTGTGGATTGTGTATTTGCAAATTCTCCTACTCTTTTGAAAGGTATTTGTAATCTCAAAATCAACACTCACAGTTCTTTCTCCATCATTCACAGAACAGCAAAAACATTGAGTTGGCTGGGTGCATGTTCCCAGCTGAGGTTGGACAGTGGTGCTCTGCCTTCTCGTTCCAGCTCTCTCACCACACACAGTGTTCTTTGGGTGGCCTATGTAGTGCCAGGTATTTTGCTTTTTGGTTGGCAATCTTGTTGTTTAGTATGGCCCCCAAGTATAGGGTGAAGTGCTGCCTAGTGTTCCTAACCGAGCTGTGATGTACCTTCTGGAGAAAACACCTGTGTTCGATAAGCTTTGTTTATATGCTATCAGGAGTTATAGCACTATTGTCCATGAGTTCAATGTCAATAAATCAACTATTGATTATATAAGGTGACTTTAAATGAAAACACACATAAAACAAACATAGATTGATACTGATCTGTTGAACATTTTGTGAGCAGAAGCTCCTAGAAACCTTCTATTCCCCTAGGAATGATGGCTCAGTATTTGCTGATTCAGTGTTTATGGCAGCGACTTCATAGGAAATAACTACTGCAAATAATGAGAATCGACTGTATCTGAAAATAAAATTAACATTTATGTGAGCATCCTGTGTTTTATTTGACATTTATATGATCCTTTACAGAGAAGTGTGCAGATTCCTGCTTTATGCTACTGTTAATTTTTTTTCAAAACCAAATTTAATCTTGTTTTCTGGTAATGCCCATGTTAGCACAGCATACAAGGTCCTTCAGGACCTAACCACTGCTACTCTCCCCCTCCTCATCTCTGGCCCTCTCCCCTCAGATGCTCAGAGCTAGCCTTTCTGAAAGACCTGTGATCCCTCCTTTCCACCCACTACCTAGAGACATCAGCTTTACAACCTGCCTGGCAGGTCTGTCTTGTTGCTGAGGACCCAGGTCAATATCACCTCCTTTGGAAGCAACATAAAATCCCCAGTATGAGCCCTAACCGGTTTTGCTCAGTGGATAGAGCGTCAGCCTGCAGACTCAGGGGTCCCGGGTTCGATTCCGGTCAGGGGCATGTACCTTGGTTGTGGGCACATCCCCAGTAGGAAATGTGCAGGAGGCAGCTGATCAATGTCTCTCTCTCTCATCGATGTTTCTAACTCTCTATCCCTCTCCCTTCCTCTCTGTAAAAAATCAATAAAATATATTTTTAAAATCCCCAGTATGATTTTGATGCCCCCATCGAAGTGTGGGACTGCTAATTAGATCTCTCTCTCTCTCTCTCTCTCTTTTCTTTTTCAGAGAAATGTCATGGTCCTTGCATCACTTCATCCAACTGCAGCCAGCCCTGTGCTCTGCCCTTTCGTGGGGAAATAGGATTTACATGCAATCAAAACAAGTGGCAAAAATCAACTGAAACATGTACAAGCCTTTCTGTGGAAATGCTCTTCCAGGTGATGCATTTGGATATTATTGGCAACAGGAGCCAATCCCTCAGGAGGTGGTAGAGGCATGTTTAACATGTTCTATTGAGCATAAGTCTCAGGTTTGGACTTAGGAAAGTCTATAGAACAGGTTATATTTGTCTCTTCTTCTTCCTTACCCAAACTCAAGTTCTCTCCTCATTCCCCACTCTCTCTCCCTTTCAGAATCCTTTCTTAGAAACAGATATGAAACTCATTTATGTAATAGTAAATGCTTGGAGGATAACGTTTTAGCTCTATTTTTTAAATATTTTTATTGATTTCAGAGAGGAAAGGAGAGGGAGAGAGAGATAGAAACATCAATGAAGAAAGAGAATCATTGATTGGCTGCCTCCTGCATGCCCCTCCCACTCCCCACTGGGGATGGAGTCCACAGGGGGACATGTGACCTGACCCGGAATCAAAACCTGACCTCCTAGTTTATAGGTCGATACTAAAGCACTGAGCCATGCTAGTTGGGATAAAGTTTTAGCTCTAAAGGTGGATTTGCTTGTCTCTGGGCTACCTAATTAATCAACTAAATATGTCTAGAAACAAATTCATTTTCATTTTTTTCTAATACTTTCAATCACTTGACCAAAAGAAAGGAGAAATGAGTGACCCAAAGGGAATAGCAATGCAGTGAAAACAAAAAAAAAAAATATGAGTTAGAATGAAAACATTCTGTTTTATATTCTTTCATTTAAGCACCATGTACACCTACCTTCTCTCTAATCCCAGAGAAGCACATGGATCTCTGCCTTTCGTAAAACTTCAACAGTGACTCTGTAAGGGCCATGGAGGCTCTGTCACTTAGCATAGGTAGGGTCCTTGCAACCCTAGTGGCATTCCAAAGGGAATTAAATGAAGTATATTATTGCTTTGGCTTATCCAAAGTCACATTCTGGGAGACTCTGGGGAAACATATGAGAAAATAAGCAAATAATTTATTCTAACGAGTGAACTCAGCTTTTTGAAATTGCAATTCCATTGTGTTCCGTGTTTGGCCAATCTCCAACACTATCCTCAAAATTCCTCTTAATGTGGCACCTCTTAAAAACATAATAATTACTGGACCAATGTTTTCTAGAATTTCTCCACATCTCTGGAGAAAACTGTTTCCGTCCTGAGTTAAAATCTCGGTCCTCAAAAGCAAATTCCAATAGGAAAAGAGATCTCTGCGGGGACTTTGATACAATCCCCTGCCTGTGTGAGACCCCACCTTAACCTCTCTGTAACCCTCAGCATCTGAACCACATTTTAGGACCCCTTGCTTCTCGTCTATTTTCTTCATGTTGATCCTTTGTGCCTTTATCTCATTTAGTCTGATGCGTGTTAGGTTATTCATTTTTACTAAAACATCATTTTTTTAAAAAAACAACAACACAGGACTTAAACAGTGCATCACGCCTTTCGGTGGCAGCGCCTTCCATACCTCTGCGCATTCTTGACTTCCGTGCTCCAGAGCCCAGGGAGAGCGTGGCGCAGGTAATCCGCAGGAGCTGCCCACGGGACTACGCCTGCATCATCGACGTGGTGAAATCCGCAGAAGCCACATCTGGAAATATCGCCTTTATTGTGGAGTTGCTAAAAAACATCTCTACAGACTTGTCTGATAATGTTACCAAAGAGAAAATGAAGGTGGGTATTCTTTGTTAGAAACCGACCATTATCTCCCCCCAAAGCTTGCCCTTTAATAACAGTTTCTTTTTTTATATATATATATTTTTAATTAAATCTTTATTGTTCAGATTATTACATTTGTTCCTCTTTTTCCCCCCCCATAACTCCCCTCCTCCCAGTTCCCGCCCCATTCTCCGCCCTCACTCCCCACCCACTGTCCTCATCCATAGGTGCACGATTTTTGTCCAGTCTCTTCCCGCATCTCCCACACCCCTTTAACCCCCAAGAATAGTCAGTCCATTCCCTTTCTATGTCCCTGATTCTATTATGATCACCAGATTATTTATTCACTTGATTCGTAGATTCACTTGTTGATAGATGCATATTTGTTGTTCATAATTTGTATCTTTACCTTTTTCTTCTTCTTCCTCTTCTTAAAGGATACCTTTCAGCATTTCATATAATACTGGTTTGGTGGTGATGAACTCCTTTAGCTTTTCCTTATCTGTGAAGCTCTTTATCTGACCTTCAGTTCTGAATGATAGCTTTTCTGGATAAAGTAATCTTGGTTGTAGGTTCTTGGTATTCATCACTTTGAATATTTCTTGCCACTCCCTCCTGGCCTGCAAAGTTTCTGTTGAGAAATCAGCTGACAGTCATATGGGTATTCCCTTGTAGGTAACTGGGTTTCTTTCTCTTGCTGCTTTTAGGATTCTCTCTTTGTCTTTTGCTCATGGCATTTTAATTATGATGTGTCTTGGTGTGGTCCTCTTTGGATTCCTTTTGTTTGGGGTTCTCTGTGCTTCCTGGACTTGTAAGTCTATTTCTTTCACCAGGTGGGGGAAGTTTTCTGTCATTATTTCTTCAAATAGGTTTTCAATATCTTGCTCTCTCTCATCTTCTGGCACCCCTATAATTCTGATGTTGGTACGCTTGAAGCTGTCCCAGAGGCTCCTTACACTATCTTCGTATTTTCGGATTCTTTTTTCATTTTGCTTTTCCAGTTGGGTGTTTTTTGCTTCTTCGCGTTTCGAATCTTTGACTTGATTCTTGCGCTCCTCTGGTCTGCTGTTGGGTGTTTGTATAATATTCTTTATTTCAGTCAGTGTATGCTTCATTTCTAGTTGGTTCTTTATCACAACATCGAGGGTCTCATTAGATTTCTTGAGGATCTCACTACATTTATCGGCGGTCTCACCAGTCTTTTCGAGGGCCTTACTAAGTTTATTGGCAGCTTCTAGACAGTTCTTGAGAGACCTTAAAAGTGTGGTTTTGAGCTCTATATCTTCCATTTCTGACATTTGCGTCCTGTTTCTTTGTCTCCGCATTTTTTTATCTTTTCTTGGTGCACCCCCTAGTGGTCTTTGTGCGCAGTCTTGTTGTAGGTAAGCCTTGATTGTCGGCAATACCAGGGGTGATTTGACCTCCAGGCTACTGGCTATCTAACAGTTCCAAAATATATTTTGGAGGGGAAAAACTATAACCACCACAGCAAATATAACAATAACAGAAATTTCACTTCCGTGTTTCACATTGATTCATTCGGGTTTATGGAAGTTGTCAAAACGTTAGAACATTTTTTACATATGTTTGTGGTATAGGATTAATATTTGCAGAAAAAAATATTTACATAGTGATGGCAGTGAGCAAGATCGTGTCTACTCTAGCATTTCCAACGTTTCAAATTATTTCTGGAGAACATAATTGTTCTGAGAAATGTTAACGGAGCTTCCATTTCTAACAGGGAGATGCAGCAGGTGTAAGGTCTCTGAATTCAAGTAAGCAGGTTTCCTTCTTTAGACCTTTTAATGTGTGAATGAACTTTGGCACCCTTTATAAGAGTGAGGGAGATAAGAATATGGTATTTCTCAAACTTAAATTATTATAGAATCTATCCCCAATCTCCTGCATTAAACAATCATTACTATCATATGGGAAACGGGTTATACAGACTGCAGTTTGGGAAATGCTGCCCTGGGCACATAAAAAAGCAGATAAACTTTATCTGTGATACATTTTATTTTTAGCATTCATTTACTTGTCTTCCCTGCAGGCTTGTCAGCATGAGATTCAATAAACAGGAAATTTCATGAGAAATATGCCAAATAAGATCAGAAATTTCAGATTTTAGAAACCGACTTTGTAAAATACTGTGTGAATCCTTGGTATCATATCCACTTTTCTCCATTGCAGAGCTACAGCGAAGTGGCCAACCACATCCTTGACACAGCAGCTATTTCAAACTGGGCTTTCATTCCTGACAGGAACGCCAGCTCAGATTTGCTGCAGTCAGTGAATTCCTTTGCCCGGCAACTCCACCTCCGCAATGCATCTGAGAACATTGTGGACGAGCCCTTCATTCAGACGAAAGGGTTTCACATCAGCCACAACACCGCGGAGGAAAGTTTCAGATTCTCTGGGAACACGAACAATACAGCAGAGGGGATCTTAGGAATGGTAGAAATTCCCCAGCATGAGCTGTGGAAGCTGCCAGCAAATGCCTCCCAGGCCATCACCATAGCGTTTCCCACCTTGGGGGCCGTTCTGAAAGAAGACCACTTGCCAAATGCGAGTCTTCCCAGGCCGGTAAATGGTCTGGTTCTTTCAGTGATTTTACCAGACCGATTACAGCAAATCTTCCTCACATTTGAGAAGATCAATAAATCCCAGAGTGCGAGGGCTCAGTGTGTTGGCTGGCATTCCAGGAAAAGGAGATGGGATGAGAAGGCGTGTGAGAAAACATTGGATATCAACAACAAAGTGAAATGCCGGTGTAACTACACCAATGCAGTGATGTCTTTTTCCATTCTAATGTCCCCCATATCTATAGATGACAAAATCCTGGACTACATCACCCGCATTGGCCTCAGTGTCTCCATCCTAAGCTTGGTTCTTTGCCTGCTCATTGAAGCTACAGTGTGGTCCCGGGTTGTTGTGACAGAGATATCATACATGCGCCACGTGTGCATCGTGAACATAGCCGTGTCGCTCCTGACTGCTAATGTGTGGTTCATCATATCCTCCAACTTTAGCAAAAAGGCCCAGGACCACAACTGGTGTATTGCAATGACATTTTTTAGCCACTTTTTCTACCTCTCTCTGTTTTTCTGGATGCTCTTCAAAGCACTGCTCATCATCTATGGAATATTGGTCGTTTTTCATAGGATGATGAAGTCCCGCATGATGGCCATTGGCTTTGTCATTGGCTATGGGTTCCCATTGATCATCGCGGGCACCACAGTTGCTATCACCATGCCAGAGAAAGGCTACATGAGACATGATGCCTGTTGGCTTAACTGGGACAATACCAAAGCCCTTTTAGCATTCGCCATCCCAGCCTTGGTCATTGTGGCTGTGAATCTTCTTGTGGTTTTGGTTGTTGCGGTCAACACTCAGAGGCCCTTTATTGGCAGTTCCAAGTCTCAAGATGTGGCCATAATTAGGAGGATCAGTAAAAACGTTGCCATCCTCACCCCACTGCTGGGACTGACCTGGGGTTTTGGAGTAGCCACTCTCATCAAAGGCAATTCCTTGATATTCCACATAATCTTTGCCCTGCTCAATGCTTTCCAGGTAAGTTCCAAGAGGGAGACTTACTTTATTAATTAATGTTATCAATTAATACTTCACTTATAAAATATTATTTTATAATTTGTTATTCCAACAAAAAATAGCTATGCTTTAAAAATATAGAACACAAAATATTTCTTCCATTTCCCTTCATATCTTAGAGCAGCGGTTCTCAACCTGTGGGTCACAACCCCTTTGGCAGTCAAACGACCCTTTCACAGGGGTTGCCTAAGACCATCCTGCATATCAGATAATTACATTATGGTTCATAACAGTAGCAACATTACAGTTATGAAGTAGCAACAAAAATAATTTTATGGTTGGGTCACAACATGAAGAACTGTATTTAAAGGTCCAGAAGGTTGAGAACCACTGTGAGACATTTAGTTGTGGCATCTCTCACCCTGTTGATTATCAAGTTGCATTGAACCGATCAAGCTGGTTGGATGAAAATTTACTTCCTTCTCTCCTCACTGATCCACCTGGCTCCCTCTTAAAGTTTCCGTGGCAGAAGAAGTTGACCTGCACTTATGGAGGACTAGTAGGTAAGGGATGTGTGTGAGGCTACACTCACGTGTCATGCCTCCAAACAAGCACAATTTTTATCCTTTCTCAAGTATTTTGAGAACTCGGTGAAATGAATCATTTTCCATGATTGTGCCATTCTCTTTGAGTGTTAACCAGTCAGGGGTTCCCATGCCTCTATCCCCTGTGATGTAATTGTAGGTTGCCATTCATAGAACGAAATCCTGCCACGTGTGACCTGATCCCAGGAAAGTCACTTCTCTCAACGTTCCACCTGTAAGATCAAAAGATGGATCTAATATGATCTCTACTGTCTTTTATTCCTTAACATACTTGATTGGCACGATGATCCCTCTAAGAGCTGCTTTACTTCATCTTGGCTGCTAAGCTTACACATGTGGGAAACTGTCATTAGCTAGGCTGCTTTCCATACCTATGGGTAACAGAAAATCTGGCAAGTTTATATTCTTAATTATGTTTTTAATCAGGAGTTGGCAAACTATGGCCTGTTGCCTGTTGTAAATAGTATTATTGGAAAACAGCCATACTCAATCATTTACATTTCGCCCATGGCTCTTTTGGAGCTACAATGGCAGAGCTGAGGTAGTGGTAACAGAGACTGTATACCCTCAAGGCCTAACATATTTATTATCTGTTTGTTTTAAGCAAAAAGAAAAAAATTGACTAGTATTTAAATAATAACTGCATAATAAAGCAGCAAAGTGTTCCTATTAACATGTCATCGCTACTATATTTAGAAATTTGGTATTTAAAATATAAAGCAAGCTTTAAAGACATGCCAACTCAGATGAATTATATATCTTACTCATAAGTCTTTAATAACTATAGAGACTATTTATTTCACTCGTTCCCTTGCATTACTTTAAAGAAAAACCTTTGACTTAAGTGTTGTTTTGTTGTTGTGTTGTTTGTTTGCTTGTTTTTTGAAATCAAAATTTCTTACACTCACATTATATCTCCCCAAGTCTGGAGAAGAGAGGATTTCCACCAGTTACTCTGGTGACTAATGACCTCATCTATTTTTACTTTGCAACTTAATTAAACCTCAGAATGTTCTGTGGTTTGGTTCAGATCATTTATTTGTCTCCTTTCTTGATAGAAAGAAAAATACTAAGACAAACACTTGTGACTCACATTCTACAATTTCAGTCTTCTGATCAGTATTTCTTCACCATGAAAAACCCAGATTCCCTCCACTCTCATGGCGAGATCCAGATTGTTCTTGGACATCAAGTCCCAACATTTAAAAAGATTGGCTTCCAATGATTGTGACTTTATAGGTGACCAAGTGTTTAAACTTGAGGAGACTCTGACCTTATCGGTTTCTGTAGTTTTTCTTTTATCCAGAAACTTCTTCCACCAGCCCAGAGAATTTGGTGTGAAAATAGTCTAGAATACAAGTTTCATCTCCTCAAGATACCTTCTGTTATTGTGACTTTGAGTTGCAAGATCCCATGACATGTCTCACTGTCATCATGAGTAAGAACAGCTCACTTAATATTTGGAAAGAAAGTAAACAGATTTAATAAGGTTAAAAACTCTATCCTACATCTAAAGCCATTTATTAAATGTCAGTCATCATCATGCACAGAGATAAAGGTGATCCTCTTTCTTTGAGGTGCACTCAAGAAAATACACATCAATGCATTTTTCTCTGAATCAGTGGTAAGTGAAGTTTTGAATGTCTGATAAGAGTCCTAGAAGGTATCTAAAAGAGTGGTAGTAACATAACAGCTGATATGTTGCCTGCAAAACTTTCCCTCATACTTCTGTTGAATTTTGCCACAGGGGTTCTTCATCTTGCTGTTTGGAACCATTATGGATCACAAGGTAACTTGAATTTGTTTCACTCATTGTAAATGATTTTCATGTGGCTGAGGGAAGCAGGAGGAAGAAGCAGGTTTGATTAGAGAGCATGGTTCAGGGGAGTTGAGTTAGGGGGTGGGGTTCAGGGCATCAGCTGTGAGCGGGAAAGGAAAGAACTCTATTCTCTCATTCCCAGCACATCATCAAGTCAACAGGAGGCTCTATGTGAGTACAGTTGATGAAAGCAATTAAAACCATACCTACAATTTAAATCTTAACAGTAAATCTCATTAAACCACACCTTAACAATTATCTAAGCATTATTATTTGCCAACCACTGTGCTAAGCCATCTGATGCTGCTTCTGCCAGTGTGACTGGTCTCCCAGTTGCAGGACATGAACTAGGCATTGGTGATATTGTCATTTCTTCACTGTCATTGCTTCTTCAGATAAGAGATGCTTTGAGGATGAAGATGTCGTCACTGAAGGGGCCAACAAGAGTAGCAGAGGTAAGCCTCTCCCTTTTGGTCTCAATACTGGAGGGTCGGTGTCCTCCTGCAGAGAAAAATATTATAGGTCAGTAGTCATGATTTTTCAGCAAAGAAAATCATTAGGCCTACCTTCATTCATTCATTTCTTCACTCAGCAAATATTGCAGTATCCTGCTAAAGCTTAAGTGAAGCAGAATATACTCAAGACAGTTTTCCACATTGGATGTATTTCAACCTGACATTTGGACCACTAAGTTGGGAAAACATGGACCCAGTATCATAAATTTATAAAATGCTAGTGGGTGGAAATGAGAAATAAGTCAGCTTACTCATTTCATAGGTAAGGAAACCAAGGCTCAGAGTACTTGAGACTTGCCCAAGGCCACCCAGCAAACCATGGAAATTAACATTCTGCTTGCTCAGGACTCTTTTAGTAAACCATACTCCCTTGGATTGATGTGTCTGTGTTCTTATAGATCTTGGAGATGACTTTTGTCCAAGCTATCTGTCTTTTAAGATACCAACTACAATTGCTACCATTGCTATATTAATTAGAAAGAAGTCATTCATTCAACTAACAATTTCTCAACAAGAACTGCTTCCTTAAAAACAAACAAATAAACAAGTTTCTGAACACATTAGGAACCAGCATTAATGGTTATCTAGTATTGAGTATAACTTTTAACATAGTTCACCAATTCTATGATAGACATTCTCTTCACCTTTTAACGTTTCTGAAATTGGAATGTATATTATAATTAGTGGCATGTTATAGTTTAATTGGCAATTTCTTTTTTTTTTCTTGGTGGAACATAAAAATAATGATGTAGCTTCCCAAGTTAGATTCAGTGAAAAATGGTAACTTAATACTGTGTCATGTAGGCCCTTCTCTGCGTGTCTTCATTTTTACATGTTTATGTCTAGGCAGGCACACATATACATATAAATATGTGTGCATTTGTGTCAATGCAATTACTCATTGATATCACTGTTATTATTGTTCCTATTTAGAATGCATCATTAAGCCCAACCAATGGATCTAAATTAATGAATCGTTGAAGATGAGATGTGAGTATTAAAAACTCAAGAAGAAACTTCACCTGCAAGTTGTGACAGACCACTCAGTGCCTCTTGTGAGCACACTCTTCCCTACTCAGTGATGCTGGAGTGAGGTGGGAAGAGAATAGATGGACGTACCCTTCAGAGAACAGAAACGTCTTGATCGACCAGCACATATATGAGAATATGTACATCTTCTTTAAAACCTACAGAACCAAGTCAAAGCACACTTGTTTCTGTCCTCAATGAGAGGATGCTGCCATCATACCTGCACTGATACAGGATACACCCTTGCTGTCCACAGCGCTCACACACCTAATTCCATCTTGGCAGTGAGTGGTGACCCTTACAATAGACCGATTGTCTGGAAGGAAGACTTTGTTGATTAAAATCACAAAGCAGCAAGCATGTCTCTTCATAATGAAGTTAGGGCCAGAACCATTCCTAAGGGGGCGTGGGTGGAGTTGCAGCAAACTAGCTGTCTACTCACAGCCAACCTATGAGACATTTCTACACAAGGGAAAACAAACATTAGGCATCCATGAAGGAAGCACAAGTCAGAAAATGGCAGGCTAAAGCCTGAGCAGTAATAGGGGACTGTGGGCAGGAATGATCAGTCTTGGTAAGGTTTCATCTTGGAGAGTTTATGGCCTTTCTTCATGGATGTTGATGGATCTCAGGTTTTGTTTTTAAGAACCACCTGGCAACAGGCACATCCTCTTTTTTAAAAAAATATATTTTATTGACTTTTTTACAGAGAGGAAAGGAGAGGGATAGAGAGCTAGAAACATCGATGAGAGAGAAACATCAATCAGCTGCCTCCTGCACAACCCCCACTGGGGATGTGCCCGCAACCAAGCCACATGCCCCTGACCAGAATCGAACCCGGGACCCTTCAGTCCGCAGACCGATGCTCCATCAACTGAGCCAAACCGGTCAGGGCACATCCTCTTTTACATTCCTTTCTGTTCTGAGTCATGGCCCATATATTCAGCAATGGGGCAAGGCCAAGGCAAATCTTAGGGAACTAAAGAACCCTAAAGGGACTTCCTCTGTTACAGCTTCTAAAAACATGATGTGCTGGTGTCCAGAGAGAGGGAGGGAGAGTAAGAAGGACTTTGTTACACACATTGACTGGCATGTGTGGGAGCCGGGAAACCAGAGGGAAACACTGGCATATTATTCTTAATTAAGCATCTTTACATTTGGGTTTTTATCTGAGCACTTTAAAAGGGAGGAGGGAGGATTCAGTAGAACTTCACAAAGTTTAACTCTCCCCACCTCTGCCCATTTTCTAGCCTCTAGGGTTTCTCCATGGTGGAATATTATTATCACATTTATTGATTAGCCATTCACTGAGAGTTAGTTCAGAGGATCTTTTAAAGTTGACCTTTTCATTAAGGTCCCAGTTTGAGCTGGTAGGGAGTTCATTAGACTGTCTCAGCTGGAGGCCCTTCCTCCTGGGCAGTGTATATCCAGCCATTCTAGAGAAGAGGAGCATGGTTGCAGTCTTACACCCAGCTAACGGTGGTAGTAAAAGTTGGAAAAAAAAAACAACAAAAAAAAATACAGTAGAAGCCAAGATCAGGAACTACACTACTTAGTGGAACTGGGGATGTGCACAAGACTCAGACCCATATTAGGAGGAAGTGTAGGAAAGAGGTAGGAATGCACTAACAACTCTCCCCAAAGAAATCCACATAATTTTTCAACATCTATTTTTGAACCTATGAGGTGGGGGATGAATTAAAGATTCCATTCTTTCAGCATATTCTCCTCTCATGGCCCAGGGCCTAATGAATTGTAATTGGGACTATGCTTTCATATCTGGATGCATGTGATATCAGTAGGGTTCAGGAACAACGCTGGCACCGTGGCAGACCATGCTGGGGCCCAACAAGCATTAGAGGGCAGGGACAGAAAATTCATACTAAGTGATTCTTCCAAGTCCAGAATGGAGAGCTGGCAGCATGAGGGAGGTCTTTCAGCAGAAATGAGAGATTGGGGCTTATCCACGGTGTTAAGAGTGGAGTTACAGCTCAGTGACATGGGGTGTATGGTAAGCTCAAAGCAGAATCGCAGTCCAGGACAAGGCTAAACCACAGGGAAAAGGTCACATTTCAGTCCTTAATTCAGAATAAAAAAATAAAAGATTGATGGGGTTCTCAGAAGGTGAGCAGAATTCCAGTGGCAAGAAATGGGGAGGAAGGTCAGAAGTGAACTTGCAGAGAATTGAGTCCCCTGAACATGAGTGGAAGCTCTTCAGATCCCAGTGACCTCAGGTTAGATTGTTCTTAGAAGCATGGTTGGGACAGGAGGTCTCAGGGTCAGGGATGGACTGCAGAGGTGTGAAAACCAGGGTTTGCTTCAGGTGTAGATTCTAATTGGGGGGCCCCATCCTGGGAGGTGACTGGATGGCATTTTTATGATGAGGCGACAGCCACTTGGAACCCTCTGCCATTTATATAAAGGGTAGTTCTTTAATGTGACCTGAACACAGCCAGTTTCACCCCGTGTGATTTCAGGGTCGAGGTTCTGTTCCTCTAAAATCTCTTCCACAAATTTGCTTATGCCTGAAATTCACCTAAAAGATTACAGAACTCTTCATTCCACTGTGAGAAATGAGACATTGGACAAATAATCTGGAGAGAAGCAATTCTGTTTTCTATGTAAAGTTGTAAGTTCAGAGCTGCAGAGTTATTTCAGAGACCAAGCCTAAGTAATAGAGAAGGGCGAGTAGGCACTGAGCACTGAGTTTAAGGTTGAGGGAGAAGCATGGAGAATGCCTAAGGCACAGACCAGTAAAGCTGGGAGACTAGCCTGTCTACTGTGTGAGCTCAGGGGATTGCAGAATACCCTTGTGCCTCCATCTACTCCTCTGTAAAATAAGTCTAGTGATAGTACACGCATAGCCCAGGATGGTTTCTGGAGTCAGTGAGTTAATACGTTAAAAACTGGTAGAGTCGTGCCTGGTTCAAATTAAGTCATCAATAAACACCAGCCATATTCTTTCTGTTAACTAGAGCTTCCACCGTTTTGCCTAAGCTTCCCCATTTCTCATGGATGCTCCCTGCCCTGGACTGAGAGTTGAGTTTCAGAAGAAGGGCTGGCATGAGAAGAGACAGGTCGGCTTCCTTGGGAGACTTCTCTACTTGCCTGGAGCAACACCTAAAATCTCAGCGTGTTAATGTTTGCTGAGGAAACATTGCAGCTAACATTTGGTGACTGGTCTTTAAGGAAGCTATCTACTGACCAACCTTTTGACCTACCTTTGACCTGAAAGAGTCTGGCTTCTTGGTCAACCTTGGCAAGATTAAGACTCAATATGCAAGCTGTTTTATAAACTCTGGAAAAGTCTGGGATTATCGAGGCCCTGCAGAACTTGATCAACTTTTGTTCCTGAGGCCTACTCTCTGCCTCCCTGGGCTCAGCCATCCACCACTCTGAATAGATTCTGCGCATGTTGAGGGACTGGGTTAGATCTGGTTTCAGGGATAGGGTTGAGAGGGGAGTGGAAGGTGAGGTGGCAAGAGAAACATTGAATCTACTTTGGAGAAAATGAAATCATGCAGCTTTCTTAAAGATAGGGAACAGAAGAAAAATAAGAGGGCTTTTTAACTTGTTTATTATTGTAGTCTATTTTAGACCTTGAGTAAAATTAATTCAGCTCTTAGAACATTAGTTTTCTCATTTGTGAAACAAGAAAAATATTATTTTCGGTATTATTATTATTGTGTTTGTGTGTGTCTGTTTAAACCACTGTACATAAAAGAGTCTGGTTATTATTTTAGAAATAAAAATGGAAAGATTTACCTTTCACAAGATTCTCATGTGTGAGTTCATTCAAGGTGGACATCCCCTTTGGTATCACGACATTCTTGGGTATCAACCCTGTTATCAATCCACCTGAACTCATTGACCAGACCACAGGAGGTCCAGGAATGCAGTCCTACTGTGTACTGCTAAAGTGAGAACCTGGAAATACTTGGCAAACGGCACTACTGTTTTTCAAAGATGCTCAGTGAAATTTCTATCACCAGTTTGATATTAAACAGCACGCCATTCAGCGGGGCTGAAAATGGCCGTGTGGGTGTGGGTAGAGCACTTTGATCAAAAAGAAGTCCCAAAACCATTTAGTCACCCCTTTTCACAAAACACACACAAAACAAGTATGTAACTCTTTGCAGGGCTACTTTCAAAACTGTTAGTACTGATAGTTGATAAACAAGACAGGGATTGGTTTCAAATAGTAATTATTCAAGTGATAAAATTTTCCAGTCAATTAAAAATTATGCCCCTTTTCATAAAATTAAAATAAATTGTTCATAGAGAAATCAATCTAATTTCCAGATTTATAAAGTTTCCCGAGCATTAATTTATTGACCCACATTTTCTTCCTGACTATAAAACAATTTTTATTTCTTTCAATCCAAAGATCTAGCAATTCCAAAGCATCATTCAATTCCAAGCCAAATCATTGCCTTTAGTTCAGTAGATCTATTTGGTGCTATAATAAGGTTAAATTAATTTTCCCTTAAATTGATTACATTTAGTCCCCATTCTTTTTTCACATTTTCCTATGCTCCTCATCTTTTCAGCGCATATTAAGGAGAATATGGTGCTACATTTAATCACTTCTGCAATATCAGGACATATACATTTCCAAAAATTACCATGTGATGCAAAATTGGCAAAAACAACAACATAGAATTTATGGGATCAATTGGATTAGAGATATTACATGCCAGGCATGAGCCTTAAGCAGAAATATCTTAGCCCTTAGGAACTCAGCTTAAAGATAAATTTTCTTATAGGAATCTTTCCTCTTGGTAATTCTCATATTGGATACAACTCAGTGACTCAGTGGTTGTACTCCCACTGAGAAATCCACTTTTCACCTGCATTATACGGCCAGGTGATATTTATCATCTCTTTCCACCCTCCCACAACCAATTCATTCCATTAAGAGGCATGGATGAAAGTTTGCATTACAAACAGAAGGGGTGGCTTTTATTTTGTGTTTGGTTTCCCAAACCAGCTCTCCAAGAGGTAACAATCTGCTCGGGGAGTGGAAAATTGGTTTCCAAAGAGATATGGGATCCTTGGGAAACAGTCAGTCAAGGGGTGGCACTACTAAATGAGGCAATGGAGAAAAAAAACTCATGTCCTGCCCCTTTCCCACAACTTCCTCTGGGAGGCTGTCTGGTAAGATTTAAGATCCTTCAGGGAAGTCAGAGGGAGAAACAGTCATCTGTCAACCCAGGAGAGGGGCTTCAGAAGAGACCATCCCTGTGACACCTTGATCTCAGATTTCCAGCCTCCAAAGTAGTGAGAATAAACTTCTGTTGTTAAGCCACCAAGTCTGTGATGTTTTGTTATGGCAGCCATTACAAACTAATACCTATGCCCAGAGATTTTTTTTTTTTTAAAGATGACATTTTTTAAAAAATGTATTTATTACCTAAAGTTTTACATATGTCTCCTTTTTCCCTGCTTGAACCCCGCCCCCCCCCTCCCCCAGCCCCACAAGCCATTCCCACACTGGGCAAGCCCCCACTGCCCCAGTGTCTGTGTCCATTGGTTACGCTAGTATGCATTCATATACGTCCTTTGGTTGCTCTCTAACTTCACCACCCCCATGACATTTTTAAAAGAACATTCTAAAATTCACAGCAAATCTGAGAAGGTACAGAGATTTCTCATAAACGCCCTGCCTCCACACATGCACAGCCTCCCCCATTAGCAACATCCCCACCAGAGTGGGACATTTGCTGCAATTGATGAACCTACATTGACACATTACGATCACCCAAAGTCCATAGTTTACATTAGGATTCACTCGGTGTTGTACATTCTACAGGTTTGGACAAATGTACAATGGCATGTATCATCATAGTATTGTACACAGTCTGAAATAATAATATAACATTATACCAATAATAGGGTAAATCTAAACCAAATATTCATGGAAGCTGACTCTTTGCAGAGTATCAGAGCAGCTTGTAGAGTAGATATAGGCAAATAAGATGTGATGTCATTCTACAAAGAGGTTGCTGTGAACATGGGTCACCCATTTCTATTCTCAAGTCAGCCTTCTTAAAGAAGCCATTTGTAGTGGCTGTTGTAATACACGGCTGTGACTCTCTTTTCAGGACCAGGACACGCACTCCTCCAGCTGCCAAGAATGTGCTCACTGATGGCTCACAGTCAAATCCCTCCCAAAGAGTTGCCCTCCAAGGCCTGAAGGAAGCTGCCTCTCCCCAGGTCATGCCAGAGTCCGCATGCATCTAAAGACTGCATGGTGCTCTATGTAGGCCCAGCTGCCTTGTCCACATTTGGAACATTTTTGAAGGACCACCTAAGCTCCTGAGCTTCCTGCGGGATCGACGGAGGCCTATGTTGCAAATGCATCACAGTTCAATCCTCCTCTACCCTCTCCAGTTTCTCTCTGTCCCTCACGGGTGTCCCCAGGAATATTCCCCAATAAACTTCTTGCAGGCAAACCTCCATCTCAGCCTGTTTTCTAGGGTATGTGACCAATGATACGGCTATTGTTATTGATAAACCAGTGTTGCTCTTTGTTCAGAATAAGTTAAGTGATTGACAGTCTGAATGTTCTGCATGGTGGACTGAGGGAATGTTGGTGAAAATTTTCTAACGCTTAATGATGTGTTGTGCACTGTGGAAGTAAGTCTTATATATATATGAGCCAAAGTAATCTGGTATCTAAATATTTCAAGTTACTCAACCATTACTAGAGACTTGCCAATCAATTACCTTGCAGGCTGCTAAGACTTTGTGAAGAGAAAGCATAGCCCTTGAACTTAGGTGTTGCCACACAAGCTGATTACCCTTTGAGATGTGATTTTTACTTGAGGGGTGAGCAACCAGTTTCTGAAGGAGCACATAGACCTGTGGGAAAGCAGTCTTGGTTTTTAGAGTGGTTTTATAGTAAAGAAAAAACAAATGGTTATATAGTAAAGGAAAACAAGGAAAATCTCGGGCTCTAGAAACTGCTATGAACTCTGAGAGCACCTGAGTGCTACTAGTCATGTGACCTAAGGAAAGTAATAACCATTCTGTCCATCCACTTCCTTCCTTGTCCCTGTAGATCAAGAGGAAAGAAGTTGGCTGCAATCCCGAATCTCTAACTGTTTGACCTACTGTTGGCAGAAGCTTACAAAGCAGAACTCAGAGGGCTGCTTCGGCCATTCCTCTTTCTCACGACATCTTTATGTGAAAACACTTTTGCAGAGTGTGATCTGGGCTGGACGGTATGCCTGGGATCTACAAGGACAGACACCTTTTGTCCTTCTGGCTTAAGGCTTTTGGTTTCTTTCCTCTCTAGTCTTGCCTTTTAAAGTCCAAAATGAAATAAAAGAAACATGCTTCAAATATAAGCAAATACGTCTTTTTAGATCTTGGAGCAATGGCCCAAGGTACAGGCTCCGGGTTTCCTACCTAAGCTATTACTGTGGTCAGTGCAGTCACCTTTGACCCATGCTCCGCTTTAGCCCTCGCATCCCAGTCTTTGTTGCTATGATACTTATCAGCTCAGCTCTTCCTACTTCTGAGCCAATTGCAATCATTTTGAAAAGTACACTAAGAACTTCATACGCACTCAGGATTAGGGCATGGGATTTGAGGCCATCAATCTAGTTTAGGTGTGCTAAGGGTGAGACCTGAGTCCTGGGTGTCTTTAGCTGGTTGCTATTTCCTTTATCGCCTATATTGGTAGGGTCAGGCTTACTGAACATCTGTTGTGCTGCAACTAGTACTCTGTTCTCAGGTCCACCTTACAGGACCAGAGCCCTGACTCCCCCTCTGGACAGTTTCATCCTCAGAAGCCATCCCATGTCCTGGCTAGAGCCCTGTTCCATTGGTCAGCCCCTTGGGATGGATTGTCACTGTTTATTCATATTTAGGCTGCCGACACTGTGCCATATACTAAACCCCTTAGACAGTGCTCCTGGCCCAGGTCAAGCTCCAGGTACCTAGCCCAGCCTTGCTTCTTCTCCTCCCCCATTGACTTCTGCTGAGCTCTCAGAATACTTCAGAAAGGGCTTCTTACTTTGAACCCGCATCTTTACCATCACACATCTTACTGTTGCTATCCAGCCCTACCACTGATGGGAGCACAGTAGAGGTCTCAAAAATAACAAGTTCTATACCCAGCCAGTGTAGCTCAGTGGTTGAGCACCGCCTTATGAACTAGGTCACTGTTCAATTCTCAGTCAGGGCACATGCCCAGGTTGCAGGTTCAATCCCCAGTGAGGGGTTTGCAGGGATTGGCCAATCAATGATTCTTTCTCATCATTCATATTTCTGTATCTCCCTCTTCCTTCCTCTCTGAAATCAATAAAAATATATCTATACTAATAAAAGGGTAATATGCTAATTAGACCAGATGTCTTCTAGACGACCTTCTGAACATCCTTCCTGACAAAGCTGGGCCTGGGAGAAGCCACCTGCCCATGGTCCTGGGTGCCTGCACCTGCAGCTACGGCCTGGGAGAGGGAGAAAAGCCACCCACCCTATGATCCCAAGCACCTGCAGCTGCGGCCCAGATGAAGCTGCCCACCCACGGTCCCCTGCGGCTGCAGCCGGCCCAGGCAAAGCTGGCCCAGGTCCTGGGTGCCTGTGGCTGGCTAGAGGGAGAAAATCCTGGGTCCTGGGTGCAGGACCGAGGCAGAGGTGGTTAGGGGTGATCAGGTCAGCAGGGGAGTAGTTAGGGGCGATCAGGCCGGCAGGGGAGCAGTTAGTGGTGATCAGGCAGGCAGGCAGAGGGGATAGGGGCGATCAGGCAGGCAGGCAGGCGAACGGTTAGGAGCCAGTGGTCACAGATTGCGAGAGGCATGTCTGACTGCCAGTTGACCGGCAATCGGACCTCCCATGAGGGGTCCTGGATTGGAGAGAGTGCAGGCAGGGCTAAGGTACCCCCCCCCACCCCCACACAAATTTCATGCACTGGGCCTCTAGTATATATATAAAAAATAACAAGTTCTTTCCAAAGAGTGTTGTTAAACAGAAAAAAAATATATTATCTTATCTCTTAATCAGTGTATATAGCAAAGGTCTTCAATACGTAATGGACTTTAAACTTGATCTTAAACTTCAGGATCAGCCCTGCCTGGGGCTTTAGGACCGATTTTGAACTTAGTCAAGAGGAAATATAAAAAACCTTATTTGGTGTGAGCTAGATAATTCAATAGCTAATTATCTTTTTTTTTGATCATGTGCCTCAGCTGTAGCAGCTGGCTTCCACTTTTCCCCTGGAGTCTCCACCTTTCCATATTGCACCAACCTTCTCTGATTTTAGGGCCACACAGCCTGGGTCTGCACCTTGCTCCAATCCCTCTGTTTTCTCTGGGACTGATTCCCCAGACACTCCCTGATCTTAGCCAGTATCTGCTCCCAGATGCCTTGTACCACATTCTGCCAACTTACTCAGAAAACCTTCTTATCTTCTGGGACTTCCTCTTACCCAATTCTTGCTTGAACTGCCATCTGTTTTTCTATCTCAAAATTTACAAATACATTTATTGATTTAATATTTGTTGAGCACCTACCCTGAACTTATAATTATCAAAATACACACACACACACACACACACACACACACACACACACACACACATACAACAACAACTAGTCCCTGCCTTCAAGGAGCTTACAGTTTGCCCAAAGAGAAATGATTAAATGGGAAATATTAGTAGCTGATAACTATAAACAATATTATCTAAGTAAGCCCATTTTATCCTTACAGGAAGCCTATGAGGGAGATATTATTATCTCCATTTTACAGACATAAAAGTGAGGTTAAGACATTAAGTAGCTTGGGCCAGATCACATAGACAGGAAATTTTGGTTTAGAACACAGGCTAGCCTGACTTTGCTGTACTATTAATCTTCTCCTTGTGTAATGATGGGTTGAAATACGTTTCGTCCATTGACACACACCAAAAAAAAAGCCTGCGAGTTTTGGTTGGAATGATCTTAACTTTACAGAGAATTAATAGCTTTGCCAGATTGTGTCTTCTAATTCATTAACATAGTTGATCCTCCCGTGTTAGTCTTTTGATCCATGATTCTTTAAATTCCTGACATGTTTTTTTTTAGTTTTCTGTGTAGGAGTCTTGCATCTTTTTCATTAGATTTATTCTTATGGAATTTTAAAAAATATTTGGGGTATTATTTTTTTAAATATTAATTTCTAATTGTTTATTGATGCTATCTAGAAGTAAAATATAATCTGTGTGTATTACACCTACATCCAGCAACATTGCTGTATTTATGTATATTTCTAATAGCTCATCTGTAGATTTTTTTTCTATGTATACATACTAGTTATATGCAAATGAAGACAGCCTGTTCTTTGCTAATTCTTGCATCTTTTATTTCTTTCTTGTACTACTGTTCTTTTCTAAATATATTGTAATTGATTTCAGAGAGAAAGTAAGTGGGAGAGAGAGATAGAAACATCAACGATGAAAGAGAATCATTGATTGGCTGCCTCCTGCACACCTCACACTGGGAGCGAGCCTGCAACCCAGGCATGTGCCCTGACGGGAAATTGAACTATGACCTCCTGGTTCATAGGTTGATGCTCAACCACTAAGCCACGTTGGCTGGGCTTGCTTTACTATTTTTATGTCATTTCATTATCTGAATAAATTAAGGCTAATTAAGGTGTCATAGGATACATTTTTCTCTGAGTAATCTCACAAGTTTCTGTTGTCTTTACCATACTGAGGCTTGTTCAGCAGTGGTCCTTACGTAGCCAGAGTTAGGAGTGGCTGGCACCCAGGGTTGCTATGAGTTGAATCTGTGTAGCTGTGTGAGAGCTTCTATGACTCATCTATTAGTAAGGGTTTCATCCTATTCTACATAATGCACAGAAGACTTGTTAACACTGTTTGTATTTACTTTTTGCGCACAGACAACACCTCAGAAGTGAGAGAGAAAGAGAGAGGAAGGGAGAGAGACTGCATTTGTTAAAAAGCTGTCCCAAGCTTTGTCCTGTGTTGCAGCCATAAAACATTCAGAACCTCTTTAATATGCTCTTATACTGATATGTGATCTATAAATTCCCTGTAGGGGCTGGAGAATCAAGTCATGGTTAACTTCAGTTAAATCTAATGCTTGTTTTATTACTATACTGGAGAGGCCAGTGTTACAGGGGGCTCACAAGGTAGCATCTAGCCCTCAACTCAGAGAGCACACCATCATTCATCTCAGTATATACAGTATTCCCCCTTATCCATGGCTTTGCTTTCTATAGTTTCAGTTACCCATGATTAACTATGATCTGAAATTTTAAACAAAAAATTCCAGAAATAACCAATTCATAAGTTTTAAAGTGCTGTTGTAGTGATGAAAGATCATGCTGTCTTACGTGGGTGTGAATCATCCTTTTGTCCAGCATACCCACACTATATATGATGCTTGGAAATTAGTTTCTTAGTAGCCTTATCTGTTGTTAGATTGATTGTCATGGCAGCTAAGTATTTGTGTTCAAGTAGCCCTTATTTTACTTACTAATGCCCCCAAGATGCAAGAGTAGTGATGCCAAGAGTAGTGATGCTGGTGATTCGGATATACCAAAGGAAAGCCTGGAAGTGCTTCTGTTAAGTGAAAAGATAGCCTATCTAATAAAAGAGCAATATGCAAATTTACCATCACTCCAACACACAAGATGGCCATCCCCATGTGGTCAAAGATGGCCGCCACAAGATGGCTGGCAGGAGAGGGCAGTAGAGGTGACCAGGCTAGCAGGGGAGGGTAGTTGGGAGGGACCAGGCCTGCAGGGGAGGGCAGTTGGGGGCAACCAGGCCAGCAGGGGAGGGTAGTTAGAGGTGACCAGGCCTGCAAGGTAGGGCAGTTGCGGGGGGGCAGGCCTGCAGGGGAGGGCAGTTAGGGGTTACCGAGCTGGCAGAGGAGAGCAGTTGGGAGGGACCAGGCCTGAAAGGTAAGGCAATTGGAGGGGGGGACCAGGTCAGCAGGGTAGGGCAGTTGGGGGGGACCATGCCTGGGGGGGAGGACAGTTAGGGGTGACTGGGCCAGCAGGGGAGGGCAGTTGGGGACAACCAGGCCTGCAAGGGAGGACAGTTAGGTGCAACCAAGCTGGCAGGGGAGGGTAGTTAGGGGTGACCAGGCCAGCAGGGGAGGGCAGTTAGGGGCAGTTGGGTTGGCAGGGGAGCAGTTAGGCATCAATCAGGCAGGCAGGGGAGTGGTTAGGGGGTGATCAGGCTTGCAGGCAGGAGTGGTTAGAGGCAATCAGGCAGGCAGGCAGGCAAGCGGTTGGGAGCCAGCAATCCTGGATTGTGAGAGGCCTAAACAGGCAGTCGGACATCCCTCGAGGGGTCCCAGATTGGAGAGGGTGCAGGCTGGGCTGAGGGGACCCCCCCCCCCACTGCACGAATTTTGTACACCGGGCCTCTAGTGTGTGTATAAGAAGAAAACATAGTGTATATAGGTTTCGGTATCATCTGAGGTTTCAGGAATCCACTGGCAGTATAGAAAGTATCCTCTAGAGATAAGGAGGCACTACTGTACTTTTCTTGAGCTTATCTTTGGGCATCAAATGCTGACCCCTCATCCCAAATGATAATTCTGATATTCACATTTCAACCTTTACTTCTTAATTAGTATTAGTGGAGTAATAGTGGAATACATAGGATTAAGACTCTCATGTAGTATAAGGCTGTATGCTTCAGATTTTTGAGTTTGTGGGCATTATCAGATATTCTCCAAAAAACTTTTTGACTGTGTGGCTGACATTTATTGACCAGTAGAAACATGGAAAAAATGCACATAGACATCAACATTTCTTCCCATGAAGAAGAGCGTAAACTCTATAGAAGAAAATCAGGACTAGTTAGTGACTGAAGATCAAAAAATCAGATTTTTAACTAGTAGAAAGCTTTCTCCTGTGTATCATTTTCACCTAGTATGCCAATGTCACTGCATAGTTTTGAATAACAAATTGTGACAGTGTACGGTTTGATAGTTCTTTCTATTTATATGGATGTCTGTCTATTTTATATCTATAGCTAATAGATGTATTGCTTCAAGTTACATACTCAAATATATGAGAAATAAATTCTTTAAAATATTTCAACTCAGTCTTCATTTTTAGCCTTTGCTTTGTCTTAAGCCAAAGAAATTATATACTATATATAATTTATATCTTATATAAATAATATACAATTATAGTACTTTTATGT